TGGCTGCCAAATTAATTGATATCCGTTGGCTCTTATCGATTATTTACGAGCGGGTCCCCCCTTTTCCAGTCACTGTCCGTCAAAGAGATTTTGCATTCACTCCCGCAGGCTAAAACCCAAAAGTAAAAGTGAAAATTCCCAATTTAATGGCTCCCTGATTGCAGGCACCACTGGCGGAGGAAGTGGTGGAGCTGGCTGCTCCGGAAGTCTCCCAGTGGGCCACTCGAGGAAGCCGCGCCGCAATCGCACCACCTTCAGCTCCGCCCAGCTGACGGCCTTGGAGAAGGTCTTCGAACGGACCCACTACCCGGATGCCTTCGTCCGCGAGGAGCTGGCCACCAAGGTGCATCTGAGCGAGGCAAGAGTTCAGGTGAGTTATTAATAATATCATTCTTCAAACAATGTATTGCCTTGGTTTTTTTTAAACATACAACACAGGCAAATTAATTAAAGTGTTAGCACCCACTTATTTATTCTTTGGCTTTCCATGTTGTTTATTTTGTAAAACTGAATTATTTCGCTCATCTGGCATTTTACATTGGTAAATTTCACAAGTGAATGCCAATAATGCTTTGTTTTGCTTTTAGGGCTTTTGTTTGGATTGATAAATCTTATTTATATTTATTTTTACAAGTAACAGTAGAGAAAAACATGGCTTTCCTGTGCAATCCATTGTTTTAAGCTCAGCAATTTGATGATTATTATTGTCTCTGCCAAAAATGAAATATTTACAAGAGAAACAACATCCTGCTTTTTCAATTAAAAGTAGATAATTCTTTAATTCTGACTAAATACATTTTTAAATACCAAAAAGTAACTTTAAATGATGCAGTCATAAATCCACCGATCTGACGAAATTCCAGTTAATCTCATGCTTATTGCACAAGCTCATTTTCGAAATTAGCCGCTACTCGCATAGTTATGTTAGCCACCCAATAGCCAATCCATTCCAATAAAGCTAATTCCTCTATCAATTACTTGGACGCATGTTTCAGGTCTGGTTTCAGAATCGGCGTGCTAAATTTCGGCGGAATGAGAGGAGCGTGGGCTCGAGGCCTCTGTTGGATACAGCTCCGCAGCTGGTGCCGGCGCCCATTAGCAATAATATGCACAAATATGCGAATCTGCCACACCCACCGCCTCCACCGCCCCCCGGGGCGTATGCCCTGAACTTTGGGCCCCTGGAACTGCGCTCGTGCCAGAACTATACGAACTGCTATGGAGGATTCGGAACGAATCCTGCCACCAACAGCGGAGTGTGCTCCTTCTTCGGAGCGGCCACGAACTACTGTGTGGCAGCCAACTACGCGAAGAACGCCTATCCGCCGCTCTGATGACGACGGCTAGCTTTTAATGGGCCCCACGAGGTTGCTTCATGCATATGTATTTCAATTAGCCAAATTGCATTAATGCTTAAAAATGTATTAAGACTAACCTATTCGCCTACCTGACTAATATTTATATTTATACGACACGGCGCCACATGTGACGCACTGAAGGAAGCTCCCAATAAATAACATTTTCTAAGATAATATCAGGAGTTTATGTTTAAATTGGGAAAAAGGGAATATTAAAGACGTATTATGTGAATTTTATGATTTATAGTAAATTTGTTTGTGGTTGAATGGTTTTATAACCCTGGTTATGACTCGTTTTCTATCTGCTTTCATAAAAACGACTCACATCCTTGTACTTTGAAGGGTTCATATGTGAACAAATTCTAAAACTAAATTATCTAATGTTATGACATACAAATCTTAGAAAATGCGGATAAATATATCTTGGATATAAGATATTATCGGAGGTTTAAGTTTGAATTGGGAAAAAGGGAATAATAAAGATGTATTATGTGAATTTGATGATTTATAGTAAATTTGTTTATTGTTGAATGGATTTATAACCATGGTAATGACTCGTTTTCGATATGCTTTCATAAAAATCTAAAACTGTGAGTCGTTTGTATTTTGAAGTTGAACAAGTTCTGAAACTAAATTATCTAATGTTATGACATACAAATCTAATAAAATGCGGATGAATATATCTTGCATATGGCTGTTAACAGTTTGTGTTAACCTAGAATTTCTAATTATTTTGATTACCTTACAACTTGTACATACATACCTATGCCAATGCTTACTTGTAATTAGGTTTACACCTTTTGCGACTTTATCTCATCCTTCGATAGAAAACAGTTTTGATTGAATTCTTCATCTTGTGAGCCAAAATCAATTAGCTCCTCCTCAATATGCTAAAGTTTTCCATTTATTAAACTGTCACTGGCGTATGAATTTGACATGGCTTATTTAATTATTGACTTAGTAATATGATTTAATTAAAAATTCATATGCCCACACCAAAGCACACCAGCTAGGGCGCTTCCATCTACGAGTATGTGTTTTTTCACCCGCATGTGTTAATTTGTATAATAAAACTTAATTAAAGTCAAAACAAATAAACAAACGAGCGAGCGAGGCACACAAACACTCGAAAGCAAACAGTGAGGGAAAACTTTTGCCTAGCCGCAAACGTTGGCAAAGCGAAGCCGCAATCAAAGTGGATTAAGATTGTGGAAATCTCGGTTTTCCAGGGCAATTAAAAGTACAGATTGCCGTTCGAAGCACAATAGAATGTGCATTGCACTCAAACGCATTCCCAAAAGTCAAGGAATAGAGCCGCAAAAGAACATCCCTTGATGCCAGATAACAGATCCTAGCTCCCAGCTCCCAGCTCCCAGCTCCTAGATATATCCGGATCCACTCTAGAAGCAGGAGGAGGTTAACAAGTATGTAATATATTTAAATGCAAATAAAAATTCCCTTTTATCCGCAGGCCAAACATGACAGAGCCAAACAAGCTGGGAGCAAACTGAGCAGCAGGACGAAATGCGAAATGCAAATTAACATTCGGAATGTGGAACGGTTTGTGCAGCTAATTTGCATAAAGCGTTGGCGCTCCGAGCGTAAAACATTTTTACAATATTTACGAAATTGCAATAATGTTTGAAAAGCAGAACGGCAGCGATGAAAAAATGCGTTTTGTCCCTTTTTGCGATGCGGCAAATTGTTTGCCGGGAGAAGGACGACATTTTGCTGACAGGCGAACATGTTGCAGAAGTCCTCCTCGAAAGGGAAATACAAATTTATGGGCCAAGCAACAACAGACACACACATGCGAAGTCCTGTCAAATCAAATGGCAAACGGAAATGCCAGAGCAAACGAAGTCCTTATGCGAGTTAAAAGGTGAGTTATGCGACGGTGTATTCCCCTTTTGAAAGCATGTTGGAGTGCTCACCTGAAGAGAAACCGTCTGAATTGGACAGTTTATATTATTCATGGACATTCTTTCATTTGCAAAGTGGAGCTGAAAACAAATTAAAGAAAATATAATCATTTAAAGCCATAAAATACTACAAACAAAAATAAAATTAATCTACATACCATTGATACTATATTTGTAGTTAATCACTCCTGTATAAAGTTGGTCCAAACCTAATTAACTGCTTTAAATTAATGTAAAACAATTTACATGCAAAATTTGTTATTTTTTAATTAATAGATTTAGCATATAGCGAAACTCCCATTCTCTGAATGCGTGAAAAGGTGAGACAGTTGGAATCCCCCGTGTCAAGCTCTATAATTAGGTGATAATTTTTGCCTCTGTTAAAAAGCAATTATTTATAAAAGACCTAATGAACGAGGGCTCCGCGCAGATGCGAAGTACACACACTCGTCCGATGTTGAAGGCCCCACACTCCATCTCCATATGTGGCACATTGTAGATGACAAGGGCAACATTGTCAGATGAAAGGGAAATGCGATGCGATCGTGCGAGGAAAAGCATGGAGATCCCGGTGACGGCTTCTTAAGTTCCATGCCGACGAAGGCGAAAGATTTGTGTACTGTCAGCGTATTTAGGTTTGAGCACTGTCAAAATATGTCACATCATGATGGATACATCACATGGATCATAAAAAAGGGGGGCCACTGAAATCGAGAAGGAGGACTCCGTTGGGACATTAAACATAAAAAAAATAAAAATGTATTTAATATCTCATAGGTAGAAAAAATTTAATTTTACTTTCATTGACACCTGTTAAATTTACAAAAGAAAAGGATAGAACGCCTACCAACATATCACTTTTGCTTAATTAAATTAAATATTAAATACTTACAAGACTAATAATTTTTATTTGGGATGTCACTAGAAATGTACTAGAGATTTAGAAACAATTCTAAATAATTATATAATTAATTAATTAATTATAAATTCTAATTATAGGAAATTGTTCTTAAATCTCTGAACATTTCAGAGCAACCCGAAAATGTATACAAACAGATTACAGCACAGGCAAAGCCTGATCGACCAGACCAAATTCAGAGTTATGTAAATATAACTATCGCCACCGTAGAATGAGAAGTATTGCCAATACTACCGAAAGGAATAGAATAAACATGTTGGAACCGCTTGTGATACCTTCGTTGTTCTTTGGTTTCATCAACCGCAAACGGCTTTCGATGTTTGCGAAATGCAAGACCGTGTATGAGAATTCCTCTTCCTCGTTTCCGGGTTTGCAGGCCATTTCCAGTTCTTGGGCCATGCGAAAGTAGAAGTCCAAGCAGACCATGCAACTGGATTTTGTATGAACAAAGCTCAACGAATCGCCCGGTCCCACGCACTCAAACTGGTTAACTCCAATCACCTTTAGGAATCTGCAGGATCTCACTTCATCGCTGCCAGTAATGACCAGTAGATCCTTGGAATCCTCGTCTTTTGGTCTGAACACCGCGTAAGGGTCACCAGGCAACGATAGCTGGCTATTGAAACGGATTCTCACATCGTTGGGATAATCGCCGGCACAGATCAAGCTCCACGTGACCTCAGCTAATCGTTTGCAGCGATCAGTGAGTAAATAATACGGGTTCCTCATGTTTGATGTATAATTTTTCGAAAGGGAGGTATTTTTGTGACTCGAAACTCTCCAATGTCTGAGCTACATCCTGCCATACAATCAAGGTGCCTTCCATCGCAGAAGGGCGAGGAGTACGAGTGATATTATCAGATACAGTACGAGTGCTGGGGATTCCAGCAAACGTCCGGCATTTGTGGATAAGCTCATATCGAAGTTTACGTCCTGATTGGTGTAATAGTAACCCGACTGCTCATTTAGTTCCAAGTCATCCGCGCCACAGTGCCTCTGAAGGTCCGCGGTTAGTTCCATCGTATAGTTGTAGCACATGCGATGGCTAAAACCAAAAAACAAAGTACTTGTTTGACTCCTGTGATTCTCGCAATCGAGGGTGTGCAGATCGTTGAGCTGGATGTTACGGCACTCGGAAATGTCCTGGAATTGAAAGACCAGCAGATAGGTGCTGTTTTGAGTAATTAACTGGAAAATACTGTAGGGATCCTCGGGCTTTATTATCCGATTGCGATACTTCTTGCTCAGGTATTCCGGTATCGTGGCCGAGCAGACGAACCTCATGGGATGCGTAAACATTGCCTTACAAAGCTGCATAAATTCATTGCTGCCTGGCATTTCTCGCGGGGCGTTTACAACTGAAATTTTGAAAAACTTTTTAGTCTTGTTTATGCTGTCTTGTTTTAATATATTTTATGAATTTGTGATTCACAGCAAAGTGACCTGCTACCAAGACATCACAGAAGAGGGGATCGAAGATCACTTCAGAACCGGATTGAAATCCAACTGGGATTAGATGTCAAAACAATCATGTGTTTACAAATTTCGATGACAAAGATTTATTATCGTCCAAGGTCAGGTTATTGACATCAACAGCTCTAGTAAAAATATATAAATCGCAAAATATGCATGTATTCTCAATTATTTTAAAGTGCCGATGAAAGACAGTTGATGGTTTTAAGTAGAGGACCAAAAAATACATAACAAATACAGAACAATTTTGGATGCAAAACTCAAAAAACATCCAGCTCCTCATTAAAATATTCCCTTTGGCTCCAATATAAAACAAATAATAAATAATACAAACAATATAAACGAGGTAAACATAGTTTTATTTATGGCGATATTGATGCCCAAAAGACCAACCAGCAAATCGAATAGAAAACCAATTAATGACAGTCTTGATTAGCATAATGTATGTTAAATGAAATACAAAGTATGTGTGACTAAGCGAAAAACAAAGTCCGGCGAAATTTCATACCTATTATTATAAAACTTTTTTGTTTGTATTTTATTTTATGCTAATGGGCAAGCGGCAAAACTCGGCCCGAGTACTTCCCAAAATCCCACAATAAACGCGTAAGTTTGCGAGAAGGGTAACCCCAAACTCCAAAACCTGAATTCCCGAGGGGATGGTCGGCGATATTTTTATAATTGGAAAGGGTATTATAATTTCAGTCAAATGTTTGCAACGCATTAAAAAGTAAAAAAAAAGTATATATATTCTTGATCAGCATTACCAGAAGAGTCGATCTAGCCATGTCCGTCTGTCCGTCCGTCCGCCCGTTTCTACTCAAACTAGTCCCTCAGTTTAAAAGCTATCTGCTCGAAACTTTCCAAAAAAATTTCTTTCTATTGCAGGTAGTATATAAATCGGATTTTAAATTAATTTGTTTTAAATTTTTTCTTTGGGATTAAAAACGGACATATCAAATAGCTTCGATAGGAAAATCGAAAAATAACAAGAGAGAACGCTATAGTCGGGTGCTCCGACTATCAGATACCCGTTACTCAGGTAAAGGGAGTGCGAGGGAGATGGAGATAGAAACTTTGATCACGCATAACTTTTTAACGAATGGTCCGATTTGAAAAATTTCTTCTACATTTCGATAGGTATTGATAAACACAATAAAACTGCATTTTTACTTTTCCGAAATATTTAAATTTTTAAAATCGTATATAAGCGATTGTGGGCGTTAAAGGGGGCGTGGCACCAGTTTGAAACAAACTTGCGCTGCGTAGGAACTCCTAAAATCTACATGCAAAATGCCAATCTTCTAGCTTTTATAGTTTCCGAGATCTCAGCGTTCATACGGACGGACAGACAGACGGACAGACAGACGGACAGACGGACATGGCTATATCGACTCGGCTAGTGACCCTGATCAAGAATATATATACTTTATAGGGTCGGAAACGCTTCCTTCTAGCTGTTACATACTTTTGCACGAATACAATATACCCTTTTACTCTACGAGTAACGGGTATAAAAATGATAAAAAATGTATTTTGTTGTTTTTCAGTTTAACAAAATATTCCTTTGAGATATAGTAATTAGTTACTATATCAGAATTACGCTTTTAGTTTTGTCAAAATCGGACAACAATATCATAGCTGCCGTTGAAACGATGGCTAAATGCAAGGCAAAATTGACAAAGCATATTTAGTAATACAAGCATAGAAATCGAAATGTAATCGTTTTGTAATAACTGTAAGGGTATTTAAACTCTGGCTTTGGCGAAGTTTGCTTTCTTTCTTATTTGTTTTTGACGCAGTTACCCCCGCCTCTCGCTCCGAGAAGTGTGTCATTAATTGAAGTGAATTGAACTTGCGCGCCAACAACTGACACCTCCAGAACCAGACGAGCAGGTTGTTGAACCAAGGGAATCTAGTTATATAATAGACCTCAGAATCCAAATCGTTACACAGTCTCAAACGGAGAGATCCAAAGTAAACAAGCAATCCAAGATGCGTGCAGCCGTCGTGTTCGTTGTTGTGATTTTCGCACTCCTCAGTGTCCTGGAGGCTGTGCCTGCTCCGCACTTTGGTGGCGGATTTCCTGGCGGCTTCGGTGGCTTTGGCGGCGGCTATCCCGGCGGCTACGGCGGCTACGGAGGCGGATATCCTGGCTTCGGAGGCTACAACCAGGGCGGATACTCCAGTGCCCAGTCATCTGCCTCGGCCTCTGCCGGTAGTTACGGTGGTTACGGTGGTTTCGGTAGATAAACCCCTGTAGAGATTATATTCCTTTTCAAATTTTATTTTAATAAACCAACTTCAATATTCTTGTAAATCTTGTTGTGTCTATGTGTAAAAATATCATTTGGGTTTGAATTCCTAGATTTCTTTTAGGATCACAATTCAAAACGATTTTAATTTTATAAATTCCAAACGGCTATATTATATAACTGCTATAGGATCTACAAATTTATCCTAAAATCGGGCTATCAGATCGAGCGACTATATCATATAGCTCCCATAGAAACAAAGGGAAAAAATTCAATTAATTATAGCTTTGTTGCTTTTAATTTTTTTTTGTTCTTTGGGATTTGGTAATATTTAAATAAAATGGAAGTACGGTTTTAATTAAATTAAAATCGGACAACAATATCATATAGCTGCCATAGAAACGATGGCAAAATGCAGCGAAAAATCGACATAGCTGCGTTGTTTTCAGTAATATAGGCATAGAAATCGAAATGTAGTCGATTTGTAATAATTGCAAAGGTGTATAAAAACAGTTGATGTTAAGTAGAGGACCAAAAAAATGCACAACAAATACAGAAAAATGATGAACGCAAGACTCAACAAATAACCAGCTCCCCATTAAAATATTGCTTTCGGCTCGAACTTAAAACAAATAATAAATAATGCAAACAATATAAACGAAGTGAAAACAGTTTTATATATGGCGATATTGATGCCCAATAGTCCAACCGGCAAATCAAATAGAAAACCAATTAATGTCTTGATTAGCATAATGTATGTTAAATGAAATACAAAGTATGTGTCACTAAGCGAATGTGATAGCCGAAAATCAAAGTCCGGCGAAATTTCATACCTATTATTAAACAATATTTTTGTTTGTATTTTATTTTATGCTAATGGGCGAGCGGCAAAACTCGGGCCGAGTACTTCCCAAAATCCCACAATAAACGCACAAGTTTTCGAAAAGGTTAACCCCAAACTCCAAAACCGGAATTCCCGAGGGGATGGTCGGCGATATTTTATACCCTTGCAAAAGGGTAATTTGCAGGAGTGTCGATCTAGCCATGGGATTTTAACTCACTGGAATATCAGAAACCAAAAATTCCAATAGAATTAGGGAGAATACATATTTGGCTCTGGCACAAACTAGGTTTATTAATTTCGCACAACAATTAACAAAATGGCGGATCTTTGAAATTTTTTTTTTGTAAATCGCCATTTTTCAGCCGCATATCAAGTTGAAAAGTAAAGAAGATTTGCACCGATTTGATTTATCCTAGTTCATGCCATAGCTATATATATATGTAAAAAAATGTATTTTGTTGTTTTTCTGTTTATCAAAATATTCCTTTGAGGTATAATAATTAGTTACTTTATCAGAATTATGCTTTTAGTTTTGTCAAAATCGGACAACAATATTATAGCTGCCATAGAAACGATGGCAAAATACAGCGCAAAATCGACATAGCTTCATTGTTTTTAGTAATATAGGCATAGAAATCGACATGTAATCGCAAGGGTATTTAAACTCTGGCTTTGGCGAAGTTTGTTTCCATTCTTATTTGTTTTTGACGGAGGTACCCCCGCCTCTCGCTCCAAGAAGTGTGTCATTTTCGATGGGATCGATTAATTGAAGAGAATGGAACTGGCGCGCTAACAACTGACACCTCCAGAACCAGACGAACAGGTTGTTGAACCAAGCGAATCTAGTTATATAATAGACCGCCGAATCCAAATCGATCCACAGTCTCAAACGGAGAGATCCAAAGTAAACAAGCAATCCAAGATGCGTGCTGCCGTCGTGTTCGTTGTTGTGATTTTCGCACTCCTCAGTGTCCTGGAGGCTGTGCCTGCTCCCCAGTTTGGATACGGTGGATTTCCTGGCGGCTATGGTGGCTTTGGCGGCGGCTATCCCGGCGGCTACGGCGGATACGGAGGCGGATATCCTGGCTACGGAGGCCTCAACCAGGGCGCATTCTCCAGTGCCCAGTCATCTTCCTCGGCCTCTGCCGGTGGTTACGGTGGTTTCGGTGGTTTCGGTGGATAAACCGCTGTAAAAACATACGTATTCCTTTTTTAAATTTAATATTAATAAACAAAATTCAATATTCTTATGAATCCAAAACTTGTGGTGTTGTGTCTATGTGTAAAAATAACATTAGGATTTATCCGATGATATATCCGAATTTCTCGATTGGTTTTAAAATCACAATTCGAAACATCTACAAGATATAATAATTATAAGCGATTTCAGATTTTAATTTTATAAAAAACCCGACGGCTATATTATATAACTGCTATAGGAACGATTTACAAATTTATCGTAAAATCGGCATGGCATCGTCATCATTGATTTTAAACATATACGAATAATACTCGTTCTATAGAATATTTGCTTGCCAAAAATTGCTTTCTTTCATTATTTACTGCTATTATACCAAATATCCAATTGTGAGTTTTTAAGATTTGATGTCTTTGTGATCTTTTATTAATTTTTTTTGTATTTATAGAGAGTTTTCTCTTTATAGAGGTCAAACTATGCGAGTCATTCCACAGATGCAACGAATATTTAAACATTTTTGGGAGAGGGGGCAAAAACTTTTCAGCCCAAAAATAACTTTCACTTGGACGGAAATTTCGATTCGCCACAGCTGTGGCTTACATTTGCCCAAGCTGCAAGTAAATCAATGCAGAAGCTCTGGTCGCCTCCACCAAGGATGCCAAAGTCAGGTCAAATCCACTGAATGTGCATCGAACTTGGTTCAAGGACTTTGCGGCATCATTAAAAACTTTTGCCTGGCATCTTGAGAAGTCCTTAAACGGGCTTTTCTGCTCAGCCCTGACTTTTGGTCGCACACATCTGGAGGACATCTACTCATATTGTTATTTTTTAAATTTATGTCCTGCGGCTGAAAGGCAACACAGAAAGGAAAAGGCCAGGGAATGCAAGTTAAGCTGAATAGCTTCTTTGCCTGTGGACGTTGGCTCAAATTTTCATTGATGGACGCGAGGTTGGTCCTTCTCCAGCTTTTGCTCCTGCCACTGGCCATTCAATGTCGCGGCTCTGGCATTGATGTTCAACCATTGTGTCCTGTGTGTCCTGTATGTCGTGTGTGTCGTGTGGCCACTGCACAATGCCCTGCATCCTGCATCCTCCATGGTCTCTATTCAACGAAGCCCTGCAAGTCATGGGCATTCAAAGGCATAATATAATAACGCGTTTATGTCCTCTCAGCAATTTTATGATGACCGTTGCTGCGTCCAAAGGGAGAAAACTGTATTCTGGGCAAAGCCAGAGTAATGATGACCAGCAGACCTGGCCGGGATATGTGTCCGTCAGTTGTGTGAGTAATGACATGGTTGGATGGTTCATATAAATAAGATTTTTATTGCACTATCCACGATAATCTTCTGAATGCTCCCATTAAATATCCTGGAAATTACCAAACGGCCTTACTTGGTCGCTGAAAATAAGGGATTTAAAAAGTGAGAATCAATGCGTTATTTTCACTAAATAAAAATATTTAATTTCTTCTACAGATAATAAAAAGTGTTCTTAATATGATGAGCCTAACTATTCTTTTGAAATTGAAATACTTTTCTAAACTTTCTGTGGTGTGAAGCTATTTGAAAATGTTTATTATTGATTTTAATCTTGTGACTTGAAAGCTTTTCTTAGCGGAATAAGTAATATGTTTTATTTTAAGTCTTACTAACGATTGAAATGATTTTTCGACCAAAATCAACTTCTGTCTAATCCCAGCCAATTTACAATGGTTTGGCAATGGCAATGGGAATGCCAAATCAAGGATTCTTTTCAGCAACACGTAAAGGGCGGATCCAAAGTTTTCGGAAAGGGGTGAAGTGCAAACTGTTCGCCTAAAATATGTCAATCGGAATGTAAATCATTGCGTAATTTGCATTTTGAGCAAATCAGCTTCAATTGAAATTGTCGATGCCCGGTGCCGCAGCTCCTCCTTCGCCTCCTCCACCTTTCTGAATTCCCCCCTTGATCCACATGCATTTGTTTCTGTTGCTGGCAACACGTGAGTTATGGCGACGATTTTGACAATTGTCAAGCGACGGGACACGCCCACCTACCCAACGGCAATGGGCGTACAGCCGTCGCATCCGTTACGTGCGTATATATGTTTGCTTCTCGATTCGGGCATAATAAATCTTGGCTCTTGTTATCCAACATAATTGTGTTGACGTGCCTCGATGTGAATTCAAATCATGTTAATATATATTTACAGAAATGATTGGCGCGAGAAATCATCTCGGTTTAAAGTAGTTTATTATTAAATGCCGTCATTTGAGTTAAAAATGTAAGACATTAACACACCATTTGCCTACGTAAATATATGTAGCACTAATGCACGAAAAAAATGGTTCCTTGCTAATTTGATTCAATAAATATGGCCATTTACTGACAGACAACCTTTATTCTATGTTAGTTCATTTTTAACATTTTAAGAAGTATGTAGTTTAAATCAATTTAAATATGCATGAAATAACAATATTTTGTTTTTATACCCTTGCAGAGGGTATTATAATTTTGGTCAAAAGTGTGCAACGCAGTGAAGGAGACATCTCCGACCCTATAAAGTATATATATTCTTGATCAGGATCACCTCCTGAGTTGATATAGCCATGTCCGTCTGTCCGTCTGTCCGTCTGTCCGTCTGTCCGTCTGTCTGTTTCTACGCAAACTAGTCTCTCAGTTTTAAAGCTATCGGATTGAAACTTTGCACACACCCTTCTTTCCTTTGCACGCAGTATATAAGTCGGAACGGCCGGGATCGGCCGACTATATCCTATAGCTGCCATATAACTGATTGATCGGAAATGCCATAACTTCCGTGTTTGTAAAGTTAGGAAGTTGGGATTTTCTATGGGTTTTATATTTGGCCAATCAATCCGACCTACCAAATTTCATAAGGATCGGCCGACTATATCCTATAGCTGCCATATAACTGATTGATCGGAAATGCCATAACTTTGGTGTTTGTAAAGTTAGAAAGTTGGGATTTTCTATGGGTTTTATATTTGGCCAATCAATCCGACCTACCAAATTTCATAAGGATCGGCCGACTATATCCTATAGCTGCCATATAACTGATTGATCGGAAATGCCATAACTTTGGTGTTTGTAAAGTTAGAAAGTTGGGATTTTCTATGGGTTTTATATTTGGCCAATCAATCCGACCCACCAAATTTCATAAGGATCGGCCGACTATATCCTATAGCTGCCATATAACTGATTGATCGGAAATGCCATAACTTTGGTGTTTGTAAAGTTAGAAAGTTGGGATTTTCTATGGGTTTTATATTTGGCCAATCAATCCGACCCACCAAATTTCATAAGGATCGGCCGACTATATCCTATAGCTGCCATATAACTGATTGATCGGAAATGCCATAACTTTGGTGTTTGTTAAGTTAGGAAGTTGGGATTTTCTATGGATTTTATTTTTGGCCAATCAATCCGACCTACCAAATTTCATAAGGATCGGCCGACTATATCCTATAGCTGCCATATAACTGATTGATCGGAAATGCCATAACTTTGGTGTTTGTAAAGTTAGGAAGTTGGGATTTTCTATGGGTTTTATTTTTGGCCAATCAATCCGACCTACCAAACTTCATAAGGATCGGCTGACTATATCCTATAGCTGCCATATAACTGAACGATTGGAAATGCCATAACTTTGTTGTTGTTAAAGTTAGGAAGTTCGGATTTTTTATGAGTATTAAGAATGCATCATATGAATAATTTTGGAGAATATAATTTACAGAGTATTCTGCAAGGGTATATCAACTTCGGCTCCGCCCGAAGTTAGCTTTCCTTTCTTGTTATAAATGATACAAGCCTTGAAAAAATTGGCAAAAGGAAAACGTTCACTTTTCGAGTTGTGTTGTGCTCCTCTGTATTGAAATATACAAATATCCCTATTTTGTAGAAATACCAAAATATATACCAAATAAAGTGGTAATTTTAAAGTTTGATTAAAATTGGTATATTCAAAATAGGATTTGCTTATAAGCCGATTAAAATAGGAGACGGGCTATAAATTCCAGAAGCCGCAAATAGAATAGTGAAAAACTTTGATACACGTTTCGCCTGGCAAAAGGAATTAGATTTGCATTCAGCGTTTGGTAGAAACGAATTTATTGCGAAAATTATGCTTTGATTTATTTTATTTCATTTTATTTATGCCTCCCTTAACTCTCGACTTTCCCCCATTTCACCTGCTGCCATTTCCAGTATTTTCCGACTAAGTTGTGCCAGTGTAAAAGTGTGTGTAAGAGTGTGCGTGTGTTTATGACACAACTTTCATCACGTACAACGTAGAGCAGATGTGCATACGCCAAAAAGTATGCAACAGCAAAACGTGATTTCGTTTTAAATTTCAACTGCGAGTGCTGTCAATGCTGAATTTATTTGCTGAACGCATTCATTTGGAAATTATCGAATAGGAAATTATTGGCTCTTGCAGAACAGAACGCTTTTGTTGCTACATTGCTCAAATTGTTGCCCGTAAGCGGTACAAACGTGAGCATTCAAATCCTTACAATTTCTTGTCAGAAAATGATTAGGAAATCACAATAGTTTGGGGGCATTAGAGTGCCAGATTATCCAAATTCAATCTTGGTTGTTTACTTACAAAGTTTTGCAATAAAAAACTATGCACTACTATGTTAACTTAACAATTTAATTGAGGATGCATTTTAACAACAATTGGAACCAATTAAAATTTCTTAATTTAATTAAGCGCAATTATAACAAGTTAATGGAATTACTTTCCCATAACCATATGAAACTGCAATAGCATTAAAATATAGTAAAACACACTGCTGATCGTGCTAAACCAAAGACTTCGATTCGGTTGAAAAAGCCCACAAGTCCTGAGTTGTAACTTCAAACTGCTGGCATAGGTCACATATCCACTTATCTATATTGGAAATTGGATCGAATGATTAGCATATTTTTAAGAATTACAACCGAGTTCCAGTACCTCTTTTGTCCAGCGCTTTTCACTCCATGCGTGCTTAGCCGAACTCTGATACTCCATCACCAAATCGCACATGTTGTCGATGAGATAATTGTCCAAAGCACGAATATAATATCCAATAAATCCCAATACTATCCAAAAAACGGGGGTGGACACTCCGAAGGTGAAAAACGCTCCCCAATAAGCTTGGACTACGCCGATTGTAAAAAAATTTAAACGAGATGCCAACATCTGCGGACCATAGATCCTATTTATTTTAAGTGATGTTTTGGTGAGACCAGCATGAAGTAACCAGAGTTCTTCCACCTCCTTCAATTTCCTGGGGGATGATGACGTTATTATTTCATCCAAGCGTTGATTGACATAATCAAATCCTCGAGCAACGTGCCACAAGGCAAGGAAATAACCCATTGGCACCGTTTCCAGAATATTAAGATTATTACTCAAGAATAAAAATTTTGCAATATTATTCAAGTTAATCGTATCGGTTGTATAAAACATAAATATGGTTTCGGTGATACACAACCAGAATACGGTGAAGAACTTTAGATAAATTAGAATCATTAGGGACCGCCGTATCCTTGTACATTTATTCTGCCTTTGACGTAACTTTCGTAGCAAAGGTTGCACTTCCTTAAACGCTGTATCCCGAAATCCTCGCGACAGGACCGTATATAGAACGACCAAATAGGACACCACATACCTAACATTATAGGTAATCAAAATGAGATTCGGAAAGTGCATTTTCGCCTGAAAATCCAAACGAACTCTCAACATAACTATGGGCAGAATGGTAAGCGTAACGACATTCGCAACCATGACATAGGCCTGGGTGAAAAATGTACTCTGGAACTCATGGTTGACCAGTTTTTGCGAAGTAATTCCAATTGCCAGCGAATAGCCAAAAAATATTTTCACCAACGAATAAACCATGACCACGTCCTTTCTCAACCAGTTTGTAGGCTCAACTGAAGTCATTTATTTTCCCAATAAAGGGAAGTGCTTATATCGATGAAATGTGATCTAAAGATGCGGAAATGATAGTGCTACTAGGAAGTTAGTTAGCATTAACTAAATTATACAAGGTTTCTGTTCAACTGCAGATTAAATTGTTTTACAAATAATTGGTAAGTTAATTATTTGTAATCTGATAAAATAGAAGGTCCTCCGAATTTTCTTGTCGAGTCTTCACAACTTTACATTTCAGTGAGAAGTACCACTCTAAAAAAAATGCACTCGATGACTTTGTCCTCAGATTTTCATTGATTTTTATACCCTTGCAGAGGGTATTATAATTTCAGTCAAAAGTTTGTAACGCTGTGAAGGAGACATTTCAGACCCTATAAAGTATATATATTCTTGACCAGCATCACCAGGAGAGTCGATCTAGCCATGTCCGTCTGTCCGTCTGTCCGTCCGTTTCTACGGAAACTAGTCGCTCAGTTTAAAAGCTATCTACTTGAAACTTTCCCCTAAGTTGTCTTTCTATTGCAGGTAGTATATAAGTCGGAACGATCCGGATCGAGCGACTATATCATTTTAAAAAAATATAACTTTGTTTTTTTAATTTTTTTTTTTTGTTGTTTGGGACTTGGTAATATTTAAATATTATGGAAATAAGGTTTTAATTAACTTAAAATCGGACAACAATATCATATAGCTGCCATAGAAACGATGGAAAAATGCAGCGCAAAGTCGACATAGCTTCATTGTTTTTTGTAATATAGGCATAGAAATCGAAATGTAGTCGAAATGTAGACGAATTGTAATAACTGCAAGGTATATAAACTTCGACTTGCCAAAATTTGCTTCTTTTCTTGTTAGTCGTCAATCTAGGATGAGATGGCCATAAAATGTTCAGCATATGGAGAACTCGAATCATTTGTTGACAAATCGAAACCCATGAAACCATGCATGATGGGGTGTCCGACGATATATTTGCACTTTTTCTAATTATGTGAACGGTTCTAAAGCGCTGCTGGTAGACAAACGCATAGCCACGGCAATATTACATGTTCCGACACCAAATACAAATAAACGTTACCGACCCTAATGTTTATCCCCATGATAAATGAAATGTGTCCGACCAGCTCATCAAAAGCCCGATGTGTTACCTATTCAAACTGGTACAAAAACTGATCAGCCTGCTTTTGGAAGCCTATTGAAAATATGTGCAAAATAAAGCTTTAACAACATAGATCTACAAAAATTACGTATGGTTCGCTTTAAAGTAGTTTATTGATAATCCATAAAAATGTAGCTTTAAGCCATCTATTTTTTGCTCATAACCAGATGAAACTGGAGCAGCATTATGGTGTGTACTACGATAGATGCTATCATTTGCAGCCATTTGTTTCTATTGACCGGATAAAGTCCACAAACCATAAGGTCCAGTCTCGTGCTGCTGTTATATATCAAGAAAGAACTCATCTGAAAATATAAACAGACTTTAAGAAGGAAGTTTTAAAATGTACACTGTATAACTATTCACCTCGTTAGACATGGAGCCCTCGGTGACGAAGTACTTCGGTTGGTTTTGATATTGAGTGACCAAATCGCAAATATAGTCGTTTAGAAAGAAGTCAAAGCTTCGAATCCAATATAAAAGAGCTCCGAAAAACTTGTCGATCGAATCGGATTGGTCATAATGGGAGTAGACTGTCCCCAAGTATCCGTTGATAATAGAGAACATAAAGTAATCAAAACGGGAGGCAAGCATCTGTGGACCATAGTGCCTATTTATCCCACGGGCTGTCCGACTTAGGGTCGCATGCAGAGCCCAAAGGCCACGGATCTCTTCGGCTTGGGCTTTTGGATCCATCGACTTATCTAGGGATATCTCTTTCAGGCGCTGGCTCACGATATCATAGCCTCTGGCAATTTGCCAAAACGAAATAAAATAAAAATACGTGTTCAGAATCAGGATGCTTAAGAAAATGTTAACTAGAAATCCAATCCAAACATGCGACGAAGGCAGTCCGTATTGGCAAATGAAAATGCCCAGTAAATACGACAAACACAAGTAACTCAACGTAAAGGTTTTCAGGATAAACAATTGTCGCAGCTTTGAGTTAATACCCTTTCCCGTGCGCGACATCTCTCGATTTACTTGTATTATAACGACCTGTAAGTCTATCAACATAGCGTCCCTGTAGCATCTCGAAATCAGGGTGTGCGCGATTACGATGTAGTTGATTGAAAACAGGACGTATGGAGTTATCCACATGTAAGACGGCAGCCATTTGGCCATCGTCATTATTTGGGCCGATTTCCAAAATCCCATCGGTAGCAAAATCAAGGTGATGGCATTCATAACCACCGCGTAAGTCTGCGTAATCCTTGTTTGCCGGAATTTTCCTCCAACTGCTATGTATGAGGTCATGCCCATGACCATGCCGTATGAGTTATAAATCTGAACGATCAACCTCATTGTCGCTTTCCGAATAAACCGCCGTCCAAGAGTTTCGAAGTGCAACTAAAGTTATTGGTTCGTATTTTTCATTGGGCATTGGTCAATTAAGCAAAGTGTCATTTGGCTGGCCGATCCAAATCAGCTTTGCGATAGCAGTGGCGTCTCCTTATTATTATAGTAGGAATTAAAAATATCTGTAGGATATAACCATATAAACTAATTTATACGCAATACATACAATGTTTTTGCATTTGAAGTAAATTAAATTTAAATGAATTCACATGTTTTCTAATAATAAAGTTGTGTTATGCATAATCAATCACTCAACATCAAATAGAATTGCAGCAGCAAAATGGAGTTGCTGATTATAAATTCCATCATTCCAAGCCATTGTTTTCTGTTGGCCGGAAAGAGTCCAAATACTTTTAAGTCGAGTCTGGTGCTGCTCTCATAGATTATATAGGCACTAATCTGTAATTATAACCATTAATTTGTGAAATGTTTGTGTTTTCTGGGACTACCTCTTGGGTTATGATTCCTTCGGTGACTTGGTGTTTCGGATAGCACTGATAACTCGATGCCAAGTCAGATATGAAATCGTTAAGAAAGAAGTCAGCAATTCGAAAAAAATATATTGAAATTGCATAGAAATAACAGAAATTTATTCCTTGATATAGGTAAATCATACCAAAGTAGCCACAGACAATAGTAAATATAATGAAATCAATGCGTGAGACTAGCATCGGCAGTCGATAGAATCTATTTATTCGGTTGGCCATGCAGCTGAGGCTCGAGTGAAGAGACCACACTCTACGCAGCTTAATCGAGACTTGAATTTCAGTATCAGATCTTAAGGCAATCAGCTGCTCTAATTCTTGGTTAAGAAAATCAAAGCCGCAAACAATTTTCCATAACAATGTGAAGTTAAAGTACGCACTGGCGGTTAGAAAGTTGTTGCCAATAATAATGAATATGCTATTACAATCATTAAATTTCCCAGTTAAAAGTAATAAAAACGGTGCAAAGCACACATAAGCAACAGTAATAAATTTGATATATAGCAGCCGCTGAAGTTTTAAACTTGTTTTTTTTCCAGCACACTCCATTTTTCGATTTAATTGATTGGTTACCTTAAACAAATAAAAAACCTTTTTTTCACGATAGCACCGCGCGATTAGGATATACACTATAGCCACATATTTGATCGAATAATGAACGACAGAAATTAAAAACATTGATTCCGGGAGAAAGGATTCGCTCTTGGCAGCTCTCATTACTCTCCAAAATACCGGTGGGAGAATAACGATTATAAAGATATTTACGGCTAAGGCATACGCCTTTGTAATGTTCGTTTGCCGAAATTTGCCATTGATATTTATGTACGACGTCAAGCCAATTAGAAATGTGTATCCATGGTAGACTTGGATTAGCCTCTCCATTATCATGGTTCTAAAGATCCGCTGCTCAGGAAAGTAGAACTCAAACTGAACCGTCCTAGTTGGTTTTTTTAACGTCGCATACAAAACAAATTAATCTTGGGTTATCATAGATGTGGTATTCAGTGATCAATTGGTTGTAGATTAACCAACCTGATTCTATAAAGTACCATTCAGAGTTTAAATTCAGTAGCCAATTGTAGGTACATAAGAATGCCTTTGTGTATTGTCAAAACGTTTAACAAGCATTTACTTAGATTTGGTAACTTATTTTCTTACAAAACTTCATTGTTCTGTATTTATATAAAGAAAGTTATTGGAACGATTTAAGCATATAAATTAAGCATCAACAAAATTGTTGCAGGAATATGGAGAAACAAACTATAATTCCCATCATTCCAAACCTTTATTTTTGCTATAATTAAAAACATAACCTATTTAGGCCTTCTTCAAATCATCTTGGCATTTAATTAGCTACTGGGTTATGATTCCTTTGCTTACAGTACGAATTAGATACATTAAAGGGGCATTTAATTTGATAAGATTCATTCCTTGACGCAGTTAAATCATACCTTCGTAGTAGGGCGATTAGCTACTTTATTTATTGATTAACAAAATCAAAGCCTTAAAATAATTGCCCGGAATAAGAGGAACATAGCCGATATTAACTAAAAGCAATTCAAAACAAGACACAAAACTGAGAGTGTTACTTAAAACACGATTAAAATGATTGTCTAAATTGGCAAACTCAAAAACATTACATTTAAGATACACACTTCAACCATAGTGTACCGAATGAAAAACAAATTGTGTTATGCCACCATTATTCCTTTGGCCATACAATGTGGTGGTTACTATACTAATTTCTAGAGCACTTGTTTAAAAAAAATTTGGATTATATAGAGTATTTCTATGTAGGGTTTATCTAGATTCACCCTCCCAAAAAACTTTATTATGCAATAACTCACGCTAAGACATGTTTGTTCGAAACATTTTAACATGCCGTTAAGTCATAACTTCGGCAAAACAAACGGATTAAGATTATGTCTTGACCTTTTTACCCCATATCAGGTACTTGCTGAGATGGACCTTTAAATTAGCGCTTAAATCTTACCTGACTTGTGTACTGACCGTATATATATTACGAGTTATTTTCTTCTTTAAATCATTCGCAATCGGCAGATGAAGAAGTCAATACACTTAAAAATGGATGGTCCTCTGTCGTTTTTCCAAGCCGATCCCGCCTGTCTGATCCTCATTGTCCTGGGACTGTCTCTGGTTGAGTACATATTGAACAATTGGTCCGATGCGAATAAAGATGTTGCCGACTATCCCCAAGAGTTCACAGTTTCCACCAGGAAGAGCAAACGGTGCGAAAGTGAGACTCCTTTGGCCAGAAACTGTGGTTTGAGACATCTGCAGCTGCGGCATCGTGCAAAACTTTTACCTGGCGTCAAACGGCGGCTTGACCTGCAGTTCTAAAACACAACACATTATGTTTAACATATACGCATAAATAATTAGCCTTAAGAAATTAAAATATTACTAATATAATACAATTATACGGTCAAATAAATATTCACCTTTTTGGCGCAATGAACTGAATTTATCGACTTATCGCTGGGCTTTCGATGCATTTTCCAAGGAAGTAGTGTGCTGCCAGATGACAAGGTTTTCTGCTATAGTGGCACCACTATGCCGTTCTAACTATTTTCCCGACAGATTTAGCTATTATTTAATTGTGATTTAAAATGGAAATTTTATTGACATCTGAAAATATCTTTAGATTTGTATGTAAATTTAAATATTTTTAGCCATCACTATAAATAGATCCCAAGTTATTTATCGGTTTTTTAATATATCACAGATGTTGGTTTTGTAGCCAAAAAAAAAGTTGTATATAATTTTTTGTACTATTTTAATGATTATTTATTTTAATTTAATTTTATTTTAATAATTATCCTAATTTTAAACTTTATCTTATGTTATTGTTATCTAGCTATTTATTTAGCTAGAATAAAATAGCTATTTTTAGACATATCTAGGTGCATATAGCACCTCTTTTTAACAGCATGTTGCCAGCACTGTGGGAGTTATTTATTTAGCCGGTTTTTTATGTTGAGGAACTTGTTGAGGTCACGCTTTTCCCGCACAATGTCTTGCTTTTCGCAAGTGATTAACCCGATAACGGGCGAAAACTCCTGGCAGGAGCGCGGAGATGACTACGATTACCACCTGGAGGTAGCCAACGCGGGATTCGGCGACATGCTGCACGACTGGGAGCGCAATCAAAAGTACTTCGCAGCTCTTAAGAAGACCATTGGCGGAATGCGAGCAGCGGGCAGAGAGGTGCATGTTCTGGACATCGGCACCGGCACTGGGATTCTCTCCATGATGGCAGTGGCAGCAGGAGCGGATTCGGTGACCGCCTGCGAAGCCTTCCTGCCCATGGCCAATTGTGCGGAGAAGATTCTGGCCGCCAATGGAGTCGGCGATAAGGTGCGGCTCATCCGAAAGCGTTCCACCGACATCCACGTGGGTGAGGATATGCCGCAAAAAGCCAACCTTCTGGTGGCCGAGCTGCTGGACACGGAACTGATAGGAGAGGGCGCCATCGGGATCTATAACCATGCCCATGCCGAGCTGCTCACCGAGGATGCCCTCTGTATTCCCGCCCGCGCCAGGTGCTATGCCCAGGTGGCCCAATCTCCGCTGGCGGCGCAGTGGAACAGCTTGAAAACACTGGCCAACTTGGACGGCGAACCTCTACTGCAACCGCCAGAGCAGCTTAAAGGTTGCCAAGGAGAGGCCGGTCTGCACGACGTCCAGTTGTCCCAGCTGCCAAGCTCCGCCTTCCGCCCACTCACCGATCCCGTGGAGATTTTCCAGTTTGATTTTCAGCGTAAACAGGAACGTGAGAAGCAAAGGGAGAAACGACTACAACTCCAATCTAAGCAACCTGGAGCCGCTGAAATGGTCTTCTATTGGTGGGACATCCATCTTGATGATAGCGGCGACATACTACTCAGCTGTGCTCCTTACTGGGCGCACCCCGAACTTAAGGAACTGGCAGCCGAGAAGGGGAAGGGTCACCCGCTACCCAATGTGGTGCCCTGGCGGGATCACTGGATGCAGGCCATTTACTACATACCTAAGCCCCTGCAACTGCTCGAGGCAGGTAAATCCTTCCACCTGAGTTGCCATCACGATGAGTACTCCCTTTGGTTCGATGCTCGGGAAGAGGCGCCGACGAAAAGTGTGCGACGTCATACGTGCTCCTGTGACCTGCACATGACCTACTCGCGGAGCAGGATTGGCCAGATTAACCAGGCGCCTCGAAACAAACGTTACCTGCGGTACTTGGAGGATAACATTGAGCCGGGAAAATCAAATGTATTGGTCCTCGGAAACGGCTGCCTGTTGGGTCTGGCGAGTTCTGCTCTGGGAGCTACTTCTGTCCAACTTCACGAACCTCATCGTTTTTCGCGAAGATTACTTGAATCGATTATACAGCACAACAAGCTGAAGAATGTCCAGTTCGTTGAGAAAGTAGAAGAACTTGAAGATTCGCAGCTGACTGCCCTTACCCACATCTTTGCGGAGCCCTACTTTCTTAATGCGATTCTGCCGTGGGACAACTTTTATTTTGGCACCTTGCTCATAAAAATAAAGGACAGGCTGCTGGAAAACGTGAGGATTTCGCCTTGTTCAGCACGGATATATGCCCTGCCTGTGGAGTTTTTGGATCTGCACAAGATTCGAGCACCTGTTGGCAACTGCGAGGGATTTGATCTGCGTTTGTTCGATGAAATGGTGGAGGTATGTCATTAAATATGATTTAATGAAATTGAGTAAAGATGTTTTTCCTTACAGAGATCTGCAGAGCAAGCAGTTTCCCTGGTGGAGGCGCAGCCTCTCTGGGAATATCCCTGCCGCGCCCTTTCTGAGCCTCAGGAAGTGCTTAGTGTGGAGTTTAGCAATTTTAGTAAAGAGCTTGACCTAAAAGGAAGCATAGAACTGAAACAGTAAGTAAAATCCTTAAGTAAAAACTGAATGGAATACCAATCCCATTCGTTTTTTCAGTCCCGGAACCTGCAATGGAGTGGCTTTATGGGTGGACTGGCAGTTGGTCGATGACAGCAGTCCCAGATCCGTTGTGAGCAGTGGTCCGAGTGAACCAGTCATTCCCGGTGACTTTGTAAAGTGGGATATGTTCGTACGCCAGGGGGTGCACTTTCCCAGAAAAAGCAAAGAAGTCAACACCCACGTCGAATGGAGCACGGATTTTAAACCACTGCTAGGCGAACTGAACTTTAGCTTTAGCCAAAAGAAGCTTTAAAACCCTGTTTGGAATTTTAGCATTTATTCACCAAAATTTGGACAAAATTACAACGAGCAATGAACGTCAGGGTAAATGCATTGAATGAGTGATATTTTAAAAGACAGTCTAATCCTTGGGAATCTCTTCCTCCATGCGTGTGAGAGTAATGTTCCTGTCTGTTTGGGAGGAGCCTGTCACCTTGGTACCAAATTCCCCTCCTCGGAGGCGCATACGCAGATCTAAAGCCCTGATGTCCGTCATCAGCGAGTGCTGCTTGTTCTCCAGATCCACGTCGATCCTCTTGCCGTGCTCCTCTAGCAGATTAAAGTTGGTCTTGCTTTCGTCGATCTTGGCCTGCAGGCGTCGTCGGATCTCGCGTAGCTTCTCCACCTCCAGGCAGAGCATGTCGTGCGCCTGGTCCATGCACAGTTCCATTCCCGACCTCTGGGCCCGGTTCTCCAGCCGCGTTTCAGCCAGTTTCAGGGCATCGGTCTTGTCCCGTAGTGCATTCTCCGAGGTGCGAATCTCACACATCGCCTTCTCCATCTCGTCCTTCATCTTGAGCTGCTGCCACTCCAGTTCGTTCCTGGCCCGCTGCGTTTCGAAAATACGCTTGCGAATGGTGTGCTCTGCCCGCTCCTGTTGGGACTGGAGCATGTTGCGTGCCTTCTCGCGGCACACGAACAAAGCCTCCCGGATGGCGTACGTATCCGCAAGCTCATTCTCCGCCAGCAGCTTAATATTCTTCACGTTCTCCAGCCAGGTCTCGTAGGAGCAGGAACTTAATGAGTGATTCGAAATTAATTTAAAAAGCCCTTAGCTAAGTCTCACTTTATAACTCACTTCTTTGGGTTCCTGGTGGGATCCGGCTTGTAGGAGATATTCGCCGAGTTGCGATCGAGAGCCAACTGAGAGTTGTCTAGCTGCACCGCCTCCACCTTAAATTCGATCTCCAGGCCGATCTTGAAGCGCACCTCCTCCAGTCGATTTAGCTTTTCCCACGCCTTCTGGCAACGATCAGCTAGCAGCCTTTGGTTATTCTCCAATACGACCAGTTCGTTCTTTATCTCCGTATCGGCCTCGTCGTAGGTGATCTCCGACCCAAGACGACCATCCCTCATGGTGAGGCATTCGGCTATAACGGAGATCGGACCCGCCAGTGCCTCCAACTCCCGTTCCGTGGCGTTCTTCTCCTCCTGCAGCATAAAGATCTCGCGCTCGATCCTCTCGAAGGACTTTGAGATTATATCCCTCCAGCGATTCAATTCTGATATACTGGTACACAGGAAAAATTTTATTTCAACTTTTATAGTGCATGTAGATATCGCTAATAAGAATAAACTCAGGTCTTATATAAAAAAAAACATAAAAATATATTGCAAAAAAAGGTTTAAAAGCAATTCCCAATTCCTAGTGAATCCTAAATTCATTTTGGTGTGGAAAGTAATAAATTCCAATAATATTTTGCTTGTGTCTAAAATGCAATTCAATTAATTGCGATGTAACTTTTATAGTCTCACCGATCTGTCAGGGCTTCATTGGTCTCGTAGTTGGCCCAGTCGCCCTCGATCCTCGTCTCGTTTCTCAGCGATCTGGATGAATGGCGCATAGCGAAGGCGTCTGACCTCCGGGCATCCGCCACATTGCGCATCTGGTTTACCCGGGCGTACCAGTCCGTCAGCGATATGTGCTGGAGCGGCTTCTCCATCGTTACCACCGAATGGAAGGCCATTGTGTATGTTTTAAAGTTTTCAATTAAACAATTGGATTTATTCTTCAGTAATTTCAGAAAATGTATGCTGTCAACTAGAACTCTCAAAGTGGACTGAAATAGTCGGCCGAAACATCGATTGCAAATGGTTGTTTGATCAACGAACACTAGATCTCCAAGGTGTTTGGGTCATTGTCAAGGACAACGCCCTGTAATTTGTTTGTTAAGGTTTAAAGATACAGAATTTGGTATATATACATTTCATTTCGCGTATTACCATAGTAATATATAATGAAATTATGTTTACTTTTTGCATGGTTTTTAAACACTTTAAAGTTGACGGGATTAGATTTCTGAGAAGATTGTTTTTTTTTTTGGAGTTATCTCAGCTAGTAGCCCTATGATAAGGAATTTCAACTCAGAGGTATTACAGTAATAAAGTACTTATACCCGTTCTTCATAGAGTAAAAGGGTATATTGTACTTTTTAAAAAGTATGTAGCAGGTCGATTAGGACCCTATTAAAAATATATATTTTTGACAGACTGACATGTCTATTCGTCCGTATGAACTTCAATATCTCAAAAACTATAACAACCAGATATTTAGCATAAAGATTCTAGGTTCTAGGCGCTTCCTAAAATTGATTTATTTTAAAATCTTATCTTAGGTATCTTATAGTCGTGGCACTCGACTATAGCGTTTTATCTTGTTTAAATTTAAGTTTATTTGGAGGTACGACACTAACAAAAGAACACAATCATTACTTAATAAATGGTCCTTGACCCTAATGACCTTGTGGTGGTGACTCAGGTGCCCCAAATACCCAGTGCTCTCCAATGAGTCCGTAGTTTTTTTTCAGCGTGTGTCGGAAGAGATAAAAACACTTTTAGCGGGGGCGGGGGAGCAGCTCTTTCTCAGCTTGTGTTGATCTCAGTTCGACAGACGGCGCTACCTAAAATGGATTTATTTTAAATTCTTATCTTAGGTATCTTATAGTCGTGGCACTCGACTACAGTGTTTTATCTTGTTTAAATTTAAGTTTATTTGGAGGTACGACACTAACAAAAAAACACAATCATTACTTAATAAATGGTCCTTGACCCTAATGACCTTGTGGTGGTGACTCAGGTGCTCCAAATACCCAGTGCTCTCCACTGAGTCAGGAGTTTTCTTTTGGTATCCTCTAAGAGGCTAGCACTCTCAACCTTTTACTCGTAACATGTAAGGGATCGAACTAACCGAGTTAAGGTTTTATATATATAAATCAATCAAAGAACCTGCCCAGATGATTATTTATTTAACTCGGTCTACGATTCGTTTGCCACCCGCTGGTTAAGCAGCACCTTTGATTTAAAGCCCGAGGCGACAAGCGGAGCCACTTCGAAGGGTTCGCGACCACGCGTCTCCGGCAAATATCGTTTCGTCAGGATGAAGAGCAGCAGGCAGGTGACCGAGAACGGCAGGAAGACCAAGGCGCCCCAGAGATTCTGGAAGGTCGGAAAGGTCATACCAATGACAAAGTTGCACAGCCAGTAGACGACGCTTCCCAGTGACATGGCAGCTGGACGAGAAGCCAGCTCAAACAGTTCTGTAGAGTCAATATAGTAGACGATTAAGCCGCCATTATTGGACAGATCAACGCACCTGCTCCAATGAAGAAGGGTATGGGACCCAATCCAAACTGGAAGAAGAATATATACAGGAATATGCAGCCAATGCAACCCATGGCGAACCAGCTATAAATCTCCTAAAATGAATTGGGTTAATACTATGTATAGATAACTATTAGGCCCCATACTACTCACAATAAAGTACAGCATCATGGCAAACAGAAACAGGAAGACAGTGCAGAAAAAGGTGGAGAAAAGCATCAGTGGTCGCCGGTTGACTCGTTCCAGTAAGACGGGACCCAACATCGAGGTGGCCAAGTTGAGGGAACCTGCACCCAAGTTGGCCCACTCCGACGCCTGGACGGACAGACCCGCCTTGCGGAAGATGGACACGGAGTAGTAGAAGATCTGAGGAACAGAAGAGGTTGGAAATTACACTCTGGAATGTCCGAAGACTAGTCCAATACGTACTGCATTTATCCCCGAAAGCTGCTGGCCACCCAGGAAGGCGCAGACGATGATCAGCGGTAGACGCAATTTAGGATCCCGCAGCACCTCCACCAATCCGCTAGCCGCCACCTTGGAAGCAGCCTCCAGTTCCATTTCGTCCATCTCCACCTGCAGTGCGACGCTGTCCGCGGAGTAACCCCTCAGCTGCTGCAGCTGGCGACGTGCCTCCTCCTTGCGCCCCTTGACCACGTACAGCCACTTGGGGCTCTCGGGATACCACCTAAAAGGGGCATAGCATGCCGCCACCAGGAGGCCGTAAAGGGCCAGGCCAAAGTGCCAGGTTTCGGGACCTCCAAGCACCGACCGCAGGCTGCATACCTGCGCCACCACAACGCCCAGGGTCAGGCCCATCGGACAGAGTGGAGCCAGTGTGCTGCGCTGGGAGAGAGCCGAGATCTCACTGTGCCACATGGGCATGAAGGCCGTGAGGAGACCACCGGCCAATCCAACCAGCAGCCGACCCAGCAGCAGGAGCTCCACGGAACCCAAGGGTCGGCACGAGTAGAAGCAAATGGCGCCCAGCGCCAGAAGGATGCCACAGATGTTGAAGCAGCCGCGGCGTCCGAACCTGTTGGCCATGGTGGCGCCCGTCACCGACCCGATGGCGCCTCCCACTAGGAATATGGAAACAAGGGCCGACCACAGCAGCTCCAGACTGGACTCGCCCAAGTTCACATCGTAGCGGGCAATCAGAGTCTCGTTGCACCAGGAGCGCATGAGCTGGGGGATGAGTTTGGCTTCTTGAGGAACTTGAGTGCCGCTGGCGGAATGGGGTGCTACTCACCTCAGCGGGACTGTTCATCACACCCGTGCAGTATCCCACTGGAACGGCTGCTCCGAGCGAGGATCCGATTGCCGCCCACTTAAGGGACCAGCTCCATTGGGGCTGCTCCTCCTGGAAACAAGGAGTAATGGGACCTCTTCCAGGATATCAACCTTCAGTTACCTTACCTGATTCGTCTTTCTGTGTGCCATTAGGGGCTCCTCTGGACTCAATGATCGTTCATGAGGCGGTTCGCCGCCTTTTTGCCTTTCCATTGCGCATCTGATGGGTAAAACGTTGCTTATGGAGCTTTTGTTGGCGGAACGTTGCTGGGAAACGGATCATCGCAGATCGTATATCATTAGGAGATTAGGAATCACGTTTATCAAACGTAAAGATAACCGATGGCATAGTCATCCGAATGCCCGATGGGCTTGGCATACAATGCCTATAATGAAAAATGGGAATGTACCAATGTGCATCAACATGATTGCGGCTTCTTATGGCTTGTTTGGCCATTCATCTTTACGAAGTTTCCTTAATGGTTTTGATTTACAATGAGCCAAACGGTACGTTATTTGCATTATCTAATCAATGTCACGATGGTGATAAATGGTGTTGAATATACCTCAGCTCCGTATCACAGAAGCCGCAATAAAAGCCTATGACTACTGAAATCTCGTTTCGTTTTATTTCGTAAGTTGGATTAGTTGGAGGAGCGCCGCACGTTTAGTAGCTCAATAAGGAAAGCCCGTATGGACAGGCTGACTTATATTCATTAGAGGTATACGACCGTAATTGAAATAACTTTGGAAAGGCTAAGGGCGAAAAAACCGTGATGAAATTTCTGATATCAAATTTTTTCCAAATTTACTGAAATCGGGATACGGATTCTAACATCGGGACACAGGCCCTGGGTTCAGGATATGGATCCTAGAATCGGGATACAGATTCTGAAATCGGAATACGAGCCCTAAGACCGGGATAACAATTCTGAGATCAGGATACAGATCCTGAGATCGGTATCCGGACTCAGAGATCGGTATCTCTACTTTAACAATTTCTCCAGATTGACAACGAACAACACATATGTTTAAAAAACCTCATAAGTGCATTCCTGCAGGACTCTAGTAGAAATACTACAGGATGGAAGTGTCCATATGCCATAATTTTGCTTATTTTTTAAGAACGTCAGGCAAATTAAAATATATAAAGTTGTCGTTTATCTACTATTTTCACTCGTAGACGAAATGTGTTGCAATTTGCTCTTGAGTATGACAGTCATTATTCATATAAATACAAAAATTAAAGTATTATCTTTAGTTGTTGTCTGTTGTCTTATTATCCGTCTAAAAAAAAAAAATATTTTATTTTTTTTTAAATCAGGAAATATGTGCCGGCGGAATTTAATCGAAGTTCTTCTCCATGGGTCTTGACATCGCTAATCTTCCATTCAAGTCAGCCACCTTATGGCTTATACATTTTTTGGTATTTTCGGAAACATTTGTTGGTATTTCAACGCGGTCACACTGTCACACACACGTGTTTTTCTTTTCGAGCGTTTTGGTTGCCGCGTGTTAACGGACCCAATCACATTTCGTTTAAAGTTGTATTAAAAAGTGCAAGTACAGCAGCTTAAAATGGGCAAACCAGGTGCGCAAACCTATCAATTAATGGGTCTAATTAAAACAATCAGTTTATCTACGATTTAGACCACTAAACTTAACCTCTTACTGTGTAAATATTAAAATGTGATCATTTTTCTTTGCAGGATTCAGTCCTCGTGGTGGCGGCGGCGGCGGTGGAGGAGGTGGTGGCTTCCGCGGGCGTGGCGGCGGCGGAGGTGGTGGCGGTGGAGGAGGATTCGGAGGCGGCCGTGGACGCGGCGGCGGTGGAGATCGCGGAGGTCGAGGCGGATTCGGTGGCCGTGGAGGTGGTGGAGGCGGACGTGGTGGTGGCGATCGCGGAGGCCGTGGTGGCTTCGGAGGACGCGGTGGAGGCGGTGGCCGTGGTGGCTTTGGAGGACGAGGCGGAGGCGGTGGTCGCGGCGGCGGTGGACGTGGTGGAGGCGCCGGCGGCTTCAAGGGCGGCAAAACGGTCACCATCGAGGCCCATCGTCACGAGGGTGTGTTCATTGCCCGCGGCAAGGAGGATGCCCTGGTCACCAGGAACTTTGTACCCGGATCCGAGGTGTACGGCGAGAAGCGCATCTCCGTCGAGGTTTGTCTTCCATTCCCTCTCCTTAGTTATAATCCAGATCCCCAGCTGATGATGAGGTTGTGCAGGGGTACAGAACATGGCATCATGTGGCCATGAGCATCCTTGGCGGCCACCTGTGGCTGTGTGCACTCCAGGTGCACGTGAAGCAGTCGCGGGTGCTCCAAGGCCTGCTTAGAACAATGCACAACTGAGGCGCTACCTATCCCAAAACAATCCAAACCCAAACAAATCCACCATTTTGAAAAGTGATTTTCGGATAGTTTCAGACCGCTTATCTTCGAATACCACATGTTTATTACCTATCTTCTTTGAGAATTCAAGTGCTGCGTTTATATGGTTTCTGTTTTTGATTGATTTGCCTAAAAATTAGTTAAAGCTACTTCGTGTTTTAAAAGTATATTATTTTCAAAACCCGTAATTTTAGATAATAGTATCTATATTCATATTACAAAAAAAGAACAAAAATATTTATTACGTGTGTGAGAATTATTTAAACTTAGAAAAATAACTTTCTTTTTTAAGTTTTAAAACAATGAGAATAATCAGATCTTAGTTTTTGTTCATACATAATTAATTAACTTCAATTTTGTAAAAACTTTCCGGGTCCTATAAATAAATTTTTACCATGTAGAAATATATAAATATTAAGACCAATGCCTGAAATTATCCAGCGATTATTTGTTCCTCCTATCATTTCCCAGTCTTTTTTAAAACTATTTTAATATGAATTCGTCAGCATATTTTTAATTAACTTACATTTCTTTCCAGACAAATGGCGAGAAGATTGAGTACCGTGTGTGGAATCCTTTCCGCTCCAAGCTGGCTGCTGCCGTCCTGGGTGGAGTTGAGCAGATTCACATGCCGCCAGGCTCCAAGGTTCTCTACTTGGGCGCCGCTTCCGGAACGACAGTTTCCCATGTGTCGGATGTGGTGGGACCCGAGGGTCTGGTCTACGCCGTGGAGTTCTCACACCGATCCGGTCGTGATCTAATCAACGTTGCCAAGAAGCGCACCAACATCATACCCATCATCGAGGACGCTCGCCATCCACACAAGTACCGCATGCTGGTTGGCATGGTGGACACGATTTTCGCGGACGTTGCCCAGCCAGATCAGGGTCGTATTGTGGCGCTAAATGCCCAGCACTTCCTGAAGAACGGCGGCCACTTTGTCATCTCGATCAAGGCCTCCTGCATCGACTCCACGGCGCAGCCTGAAGCGGTATTCGCCGCCGAGGTGAAGAAGATGCAAGCGGACAAGCTGAAGCCGCAGGAGCAGCTCACGCTGGAGCCCTACGAGCGAGACCATGCCGTCGTTGTCGGCGTCTACCGACCACCGCCCAAGCAGTAAGCAGATGACTTCTGCCGGGCTTAGTTTTAAGGCTATTGTACTAATACAGACGTGTTGTATTAAGTTTCTTTTTAAATATAAAACCATAGTTTTAAAGATAAATCAAAATGCAAACTATTTTTGTAGCAGACGTACAAAATATATACAGAAACCAAAAGCGTGACGGAGGGCGTATGTATAAAATGTGGTTTTGTAAATCAAATGAAAACGAGTCATTGGCTTGTAAAAAAGCCAAGGAAATTGTGTGGGTTGGATCGAAATTAAAGTAGTTCCTAATTAAAATTTTCCTTATTTTATTCCGCCAAGATTTTTGTACAATTATCAAGTCAAAGTGGGTCGATCTACGGCCTTTTCAAACTAAAACCAATAAAGCTACAAATTATCAAATCCAATTTTTAATAAGTTTATAGTAAAGTCAGACTAGGTAAAATAATAAAAACATTTTCCAAACATCACGGAAAAATTAGAATTAAGTAAATAAGTGTACCAATGAAAAATGTTACAAATAAAATAAACACCCAATATTTGTATGATCCGCAACAAAATAAACTACTACATAATAATAACAAAAATTAAATTTACAAAATAAAAAAAGAACAATTCGCTGCGGACAGGATTCGAACCTGTGCGGGTAGAACCCAATGGATTTCAAGTCCATCTCCTTAACCACTCGGACACCGCAGCTGTGCCAGCGATGTGGCAAAGTTCAAACTTGTTATAAATGGGAAATTTTAGCACTGTTCCCAACCCCTTCTGGTCTATTGAACGAAAATGTTTCCAGGGATGGCTTAATAATTATAAGAGCCGAGAACGCTTCTAGGATCGTGTCTTGGCTAAACATATTATTTACCTATATTAAACGGTAGTGGGAGTTCCGCGTTCGTGGCTGAGTGGACTATAGGAAGCCAAAAAAAATTAATTTAAAAAAATATATACATAATTTTACTTTTTAAATTAACTACATAATGATTTTTTTACAATTGAGTTTAATATATCCTTCAATTTTGTTTTAATCTGATAGTATTATCAAATAAAATTAAATATGCAGAAGTTTTTACAATGGAACTAAAATAAATAATAATAAAACTAACTGTAATGGTTATAGTAAATTGACTGCCATTTTCATTACGAGACATCTGCATAAAATTATGCAGCACCAATGATGACATAACAAATATCCCACCTTTTGATAAGGCTGCGGTGTCCGAGTGGTTAAGGAGATGGACTTGAAATCCATTGGGTTCTACCCGCACAGGTTCAAGTCCTGTCCGCAGCGATATGTGGTTTAACAATTTTTTTTAATTTGGTATTGTTTCAATAATAATCATGGAAAAAGATAATCGAATTTTTCTTGTTTTCTACAATATTTTTCGGTCAAGTATTATATAAATTTCTAGTTGTAAATAAGACTAAATTGCATGTAAGCGGACAGATAAGGGTCCACACGGACGGACATGCCTATATTTATATTGGTGCTGGCCAAGGTTGTACAATTCAATGTTATTTGTTATAAGTGTTGTTAAAATATTATGTTTTTTTATTCTTTCTGCATTCAAGAAATTTGTACTTTCAAGTCCATCCAAAAGCAATTTCGTTAAAACATTAAAAAATATATATTTACTATTTAAATTACTTTATTTAGCCGTTTTGCAGCGATCTCACAATATAACAATATAGAGGCATAGAGCATTTTTCTGTGTGTTGATAGAGTACGACATTAAGCTTAGCCTAGGAATTTCCCTTGCGGGCGCTTGAAGATTCTGTCTTGCGAAAGACACACAGATCATAATCATTCCAAGAGGACATTGGTTTTAATTTTCTCGTTAAACTTTAGGTCTTAGCATCTAGGATAAAATCGTAATCGCGTTGATTTTTGAATAAATGTATATCACCGAATTCGTCAGCGACTCTGCAAAAGAGACGCCTACAACTTGGCGCGCTTGGGCACGCCGATGGCCTCCAGGACACCACAGGTCTCCAAGTGATTGAAAAGCGTCTGCAGATACTCATCGCGATGCTTCATGAAGTGGGCAGCATGCTGGGATCGCTCCCAGCGCTTGAAAGTCACCTTAATGTCTGCACGCTCCCAGTTCTCGCGCACCGCCTGGTTGGAGGATGGCGGGCCAATGGGATCGTTGTCGGACACGAAGAACAGCGCTGGGGCCTTGAGCAGTGTGGAGTGGAACATCTGGCTGGATCGCATATAGTGGATGGTGGCCTGGTTGTGGAATGTCTTCATGTGGTACAGCGTATAGTTGCGCAGGGCGCTCTGCATGCGCTCGTTTCTTGGGAAAATCGATTTGGGCACACCCACTGGGATCTCGGTGATGTCGGCGGCGCTGTCCCAAATCTGGCACACAAAACGCTCCAAGATGCTGCCATAGCGATCCATGTCGCGTGACATCTGTAGCATGATCTCGCCCAATTGGTAGGCGCCCACAGAAAAACCATGCATCACGATCGGTTCATACGACTGGTTGTTCTCCAAAAATCGCAGAGTCTCAGCGGCCACCACCTGGTTAGAAAAATAGAGAATTATTAGTGTCTGGTAAATTTAAAAGCGAATTATTACTTTGATTCACTGGTACACTAGACTTTCTGCAGTTTCCAATTTATCAAAATAATATTTATTTTATACCTGAGTTCCCTTGACCGGCCAGAGCAATTGCCAGGGCGTAATGTGGACCACCACCACATCGAATCCCATCTCCGTGTAAATCTGGGCGTACTTCTTCAGATGCTTCTGCTTGGCCATCAGCCAGGCCATCATGAGGACCAGTGGGTTGCCAGTTGGTTTCTTAAAGGCCAGCGTCTTGGGATCCACCTCGATTTGAGTCTTGTTGTTGGTGTACAGAGTCATATTCTTGGTAATATCCTGCGAGGATATATACCGACGATTCTTCGACGGGGCCATGGCGCTCTGAGTAGGAGAGAGATTCACTATTAATCTTAGTTAGGCACACTGATATGACATGATTAGTGAGGTTAGAGGAAATGAAACTTCAACAACAGAACAAATAAATTAAGCGCTTTGTACACATCATAGATTCAACATTACTTAGTATATATGCATACAATTTTAACTATCTCCGCTCAGTAGTCAATAGGCCCTAAAAATAAATTACCAACCGCGTACTATTTCATAAGCTAATCGCACTAGAAACCAACGATTGGATAGGTCCAGTCGCTACCTGAAACCGCGGCCGATTAGATTTGACAGTCTGAGAGGTTAAAATGGTCTGATCGGTTAGAGTCTTACGGTAGATTGATTGCGGCACCAAAATCCGTGCAAATTATGCGGAATATTAGATATAGCTAAGATTTATCCACGGCAACAGCTGCTGACCTTGAAAAAGTCGCTGAACACGTGATAATAAACAGCTGTCCCTGATAAGATTACTCCAGGTGTGCGTTTGGTCTTTTTGTGGGAATCGCTAGTGTTAATGAGTAGGATATTAAATTTCTATGTTCACTTTGCGAACGCCTGAACACAATATCACACGCCTAATTAGAATACAGATCTAGCTGACAAGTGTACTTAATGGTAGTCTGTTGAATAATGTGTACTGCAATCGTTTTATTATACAGTTTCGCTTCCGTCCAATACTTTTTAGAACCGAAATATCAGAAATAGCTTCAAGCACGCGACTAATTACCAGGAAGGCAGAAGACTAAATGAAGGCGGTGCAAAGGTTTTAGGTTCTTTTCCTATATTTTAGAAGGCTAAACCGACTGATAGCATTCTAAGTTCGATGATAGGCCTGCATAATCTAACGATAAGCAGTTGCAATTTAGATTAGAAAAAGAGGAAGATCAAATAATTGAGGCACCGGGTGAATGAGAGAAGCTGGAAAAAAACTTTCACTTTGGCTTGACATTTTGAACTTGAACCGAAAGTTCACGGCCACTCACTCGTTTCGCCCGATGATAGATTTTTAGCAATATAATTGCCAATATGACCAGCAATGTTATCTCAATTAGGAAGTCCATATTGAAGATAAAACTAAGCAGGTGCAACAACTTTGACTAACTGACTGATCCACAATATATAGCATATACCCAGCGATCCACTGAAAAGTGGAACGATCACGGATAGTTGAGCGGAATTGAGTCGAGCTTACATTCCCCATGGAAAATAGTTATTTCAGCTGATGTGTGTGTATATGGAGGAATATGTTTTTTTACTCTTTGCGGCATTGGTTTAAATTACATTGCCGCACTGGAAGCCTCAGTCCCCTTTGAGAAAATGTTGAGTCCCGACTAAGAAATACCATCTAAAAATATACTACACTGTGTTAGAGAGACGCGATGTAAAAAGGTTAAGGGTTTGATCCTATTAAACCAGATAAATAAGACTGGAATTGTCTATAAATAGTTTTTAATTGATAATAACTTATTTATGTACAGATCTAAGACCCAGAATACCCTAACACACAAAAAAGTTTTAGGTATGATAGACTTGCTGCCTAAAAATAAACAGAGAACACAAATGTTTGGCGGCTCGGGCGAAAGCTTGTCATTGGGCGCCATCATGATTTGAATCATTGAAAAAGCTATGCCCACAGCTCAATTGAGCTTGCTCAATGCGAGGGTAGTTCCAAAAATACGCCTAAGGATTACGTTTGGAGCTCAATGAAATTCGATATCGGTAATATGACTTGCTGAAATACATATGTACATTTGCTCAATAATTTTCTGGTTAGTTCAAGCGGCTAATGAGCCTTTACTAATTGCAGGCCATTGGTAAACAACAATTAAAAAAATATTATAAATATATATAAAGTAAGCGGAGCTTATCTGTACAAATTATCATAGAGGAGGATGAGAGGTTGTGGGGGATAGAGAGCCGAAATCATTAACCGGGTGCAAAGTGCGAGGAATACAATTTTTTGAAGCATGCAAATTTTAACAATCACAAAATAAAATATGCACGAAATGAAGAAGCTAAATTATGTAAAAGTTTAAATTAAGATCAACAGAGGTATAAGACAATTTGCTTGAGAACTTAAGTAACGAAAATATGAAATACCCTGACAATTTAATCTTTAATATGAAATCTATTTGATTTGTAGATCGGACTTTAGCTAAAATGCATTTACAACTTGCTAACTTTACTGAGATTTCTTAAGAAACAATTTTTTTTACCCAAGTCTTGATTGAATGACAATAGGAAAATAAGATGGATTATGTGTTTCATGATTTTGTGTTTTTATCTAAGGAAATTATAAGTCATCGTAGTATTTTTAAATACTTGTCGCTTATTTAATTATTGCTCGCGGTTTGTAATAGACATATATAACCATATTTAATCTCAAGTCCATCTCGGACATTCAGTCTTATCTTTTTGATAAGTAGTCACTCCATGAAATAGATTTTTATAAGAAATACTTTAATCGACGAGCGATTTAATTCATGTTGTCCATTTACTACAAGACTTTCAGAACTTATAAATTAAAGTATTTAAACACATGAAACTTGAACACGCTCAGTAAAGACAATGACTTTTATAATAATGCAAATTTAACCTATTATGTGCCAAGGCTCATTCGATCATAATATTTTGATACTTTATTTTCTATATTATCAAATATTAAGTCAAGTCAAATGTTAATAAAGATAATAAAAAGTGTAACAGTAAAACTTTTACAGCCTTGTTCTTTAGTATTTTAAACTCAAGATGAATTGTTTCAATTAAAGTATGCTTATTCCCGCTGTATAAATAATTAAATTAAATATGTTTTTGGAATAATTGAAGTTTGTTGAGGAGTAAGCGATGGGTTATATAAAAAAGAGGGCACTAGGGAGTGACTAATGCACTTAATAAAGATAAGTGTTTCTTTTAAAAAACAAAATATTGTTTTTTAATCGGAAAATAAACATGTTTTGAACTGCACTCAGATTGATCGGTAAGATATTGCCTGAAACCTTCTTCTAAGCCAAAATAATATTTCTAATAATTGGGACCGTTTGGTGGAGAGCAATTGATCTGACAAGGAATGTCTCATAAAGGAAGGGTATTTGATATTTAATAAGAAAAAATTGTGTCTGAATTTGGACCTCTGGTGATCTTAAACTGAACCTGCTCACTGGAAACCCCAAGAGATACATTGTTTTGGGATAATGCTTACATTCGGAACCGGCTGCTGCTGCTGATGGCCTGTCTGCAAGCTCGAAAAGTTCCTGATCAGCGGGGGCTGGATCTGGCGGATTTGGGGGCTCTTCAGCAGTCCCTGGGTTTGGCAGCCCCCGAAAAAGCTGTCCGCGTAGACATTCTCGTACGGCACGGCTGCCCGGCTATTTTGCGCTATTTAATCGCGAGGAATGGAATGTGCAATGCAGAAAGACAATTATAAATAAACGGAAGCGGAATCGGAATCTGGGAGCAATTACCACCAAAGGACAGGCCCACGGCTAGAGTTGCGGCTGTCCGTCCGGCGAAGGGCAGGCTCATCGATTTTCTCGCCGCCGTTGCGTAAAATGCAGTGCGAAAAAAGTGCGCAGCCATTGCGGAAAATTGCACGGGAAATTGCAGAACGGGGAGTACTTTCACAAAAGCGCTTTGGACACAGACTGAAAAATGATTTGCAATGCAATGGTTTTTCTTATTTGCGTACTGCACACACACCCGGCCGCCCTTACACGCATGGGCACTCACACAAACACAGGCCAATGCACACGGATTGAACTTTGTACCCACTGCAGACGAGTCTCAATTTTTATTATTAAATTGATAAATTGAGATTCAGGTTCTAATTTGTCTCCTTTGCCTGTGCGTGTGAGTGCGGCTGTGAGTGTGAGAGTGGATAAGTGCGGGGTGTGACTGTGTGGATGTTGATGACTTTTCAATTGGTAACAAACTAAATCGATCGCCGTAACACTTACGCTAACGTCGTGCTCCCGTGTTTCGATTTGTTTGCTAATAATTTCAATTCCGCCCCCGACTACAAACCGCTTAACAGTGGGGCCACTTGCTTTTAGTGTTTCTACGCCATCAAAAAATAATTCCTGGTTGTGGTATGTTTCGGTATTTATTTAAAACGTTTTAAACTTTTTCTACACGGAAAGAAAATTTGTTGTGGCCTAATGACCAACTTGATAATTCAAGGTCCAGTTTTAAAGAAAAATTCTTTTTTATCCAAATATCCACTGAAGAACCTCAGTTAATAAATTAAAATTTTAAATTATATCATTAGTTAAAACATTAAAAAAAAATGTACAGTTGGATTGTAATCGAAAATTGACAACATAAAAAGTCATGTTAAATAAATTACATGTAGCAGTGAACATTTTTTCTGGGGCTCGTCTTTGTCAATGATTTTGTGGTTTTAAAATCTAATAATAACGGTACTTTTCGGTCTCTGAATTTGATTTATTGTTTAGGACCGGATAAAATGTCAAAGCAAACTAATAAAATTATTTGATTGCATTTAAAATGTAAGAATAATATTTATATGGCTGAAGTGATATCTGTGTTAGGACTTATTTTACCACAGGCAAATGGCAGTTTACATGAGCATGTCGCCACAGATTTTTGGTTATTTTAGATATCATAGAAAGGTCTTGTAATAAGATAAAATTTGAACTTTCCAGTGCACATTTTTTTTAATTGCAGTATTTTCTAAAGCAAATGTACCAAACAGTATATTTTGGGTAACCCCCTGCGGTCATACTGATTCTTAGAGCAGGGCAGGAAAAGGTAAACACCGACAAATGGAGCACGCGGTGGCTGTTTCTGGGGAGGATTTATCGCCCGAGGAAATTAAATGCAGTCCGCCACTCAAACCGTCGGCAAATACAGCCATAAAGTGCCTGAAATGCGACAAGGTGTACATATTTCCCGCCGACAAAGATGACTGTCTGGCACACTTATATCTGGAGCACCGCCTGGTCATAGCCGATGTGGAGGATATTGCGCTTTTAGAGGACTATCTGCAGTACTGGGGGAAGGAGTTTCAGGGTATGGATGACCAATTCTTAAGAGTAACCTTTTAATTGTATAACCTTAACCATAGAACACGAATTTGAACAATATTGCACTACTATGTTTTTGGATCAACTTCCCGATGGAAAATACGCCAAGAATGAGAAATACTACCTTCTATGTGATATTCTACCACAAGACTACGAGCTGCGACAAAGATTAAAGGAGAAGCGCCTGAGTGAAGCCCTCAAGCGACATCAGTTCGAACTCACAGACAGAAATTTTTCCAAGGAGTGCCTCTTCTGCAGGACCATAATCAATGGACTGAGAGCAGACTACCTGGACCATCTTTTCGACAAGCACTTCCTGCTGGTGGGCAAGCCCGAGAAGCTGGTGTACGTGGACGAGCTGCTGGATCACCTAGAGGAGAACCTTAACCGCTTGGTGTGCCTCTACTGCGAAAAGATTTTCAGGGATCGGCCCACGCTCAAAGAGCACATGCGAAAGAAGGGACACAAGCGGATCAACCCCAATAGAAAGGAGTACGACAAGTACTTCCTCATAAACTATAATCGTAGACCAGCGGCTCCAACGCCCCGAAAACAGCAGCACCAAAAGCGAAGACAGGAAACTGCATCCGTGTCCACATTAGCTGATCCGGAAACCGGCAGCGTGGACTTTGACAAGCACTTTGCCCGTCCGGATTCGGAGGACGAACACGATTCGGACTGGTCGGATTGGGCGGCCGATGGTGAACCGAGTGCTATCAAGTGCCTCTTTTGCTGTCATCTCGGAGACAATTTTGCCGGCCTCAAGGATCACATGCACGATGCCCACCGTTTGGATTTTGACAAGGCCACCAGCTCCTTGAACTTCTACCAACGGGTAAAGGTTGTCAACTATCTCCGCCGGCAGATGTGCATGCTGCGCTGCGTGACCTGCGACCTCCAGTTCGACGAGCAGGAGTTGCTGGTGGAGCACATGGCTCAGGAGTCTCATTGTGGTGTCGGAAGCAAAGTGAACTGGGACAAACCGGAGTTCTTCTTTCCGTACATGGAGAACGATGGACTGCTTTGCGTGCTGGACGATTCCGCTGGTGATGATCCTGAAGCCGAAGTGGTGCGCATCATCTCCGAGGATAGTCTGGCGCAGATCAACAAGGATGCCGAGCGATTGTCTCTAGAGAATTTTAAGCTGTAAAGTGTTAAATCGATTTAGTTTAAGGGAAACTGAGTAAATAGTTATAAAACTTAGAGCGGCATTTATTTATTTACACGTAACAGTTATGAGACCTTTTTAAAACTCGTTGGATTGAAGATGACTCTAAGAATTTGAAAGATTTCTGAATGATTTGAACCATTTATTGAAATAGTTATTGAAAATCAATAGTTATTGAAAATCAATAACTATTTCAATAAATGGTTCAAATCATTCAGAAATCTTTCAAATTCGTAGAGTCATCTTCAATCCAAGGAGTTTTAATTACTATTAAGAGTTTAGTTTGACACAAATTATTTTGAATAAGTGAAAGTACATAAATACCACCATTTATTATACCCTTGCAGAGGGTATTATAATTTTGGTCAAAAGTGTGCAACGCAGTGAAGGAGACATCTCCGACCCTATAAAGTATATATATTCTTGATCAGGATCACCTCCTGAGTTGATATAGCCATGTCCGTCTGTCCGTCTGTCTGTTTCTACGCAAACTAGTCTCTCAGTTTTAAAGCTATCCAGTTGAAACTTTGCACACACCCTTCTTTCCTTTGCACGCAGTATATATGTCGGAACGGCCGGGATCGGCCGACTATATCCTATAGCTGCCATATAACTGAATGATCGGAAATGCCATAACTTTGGTGTTTGTAAAGTTAGGAAGTTGGAATTTTCTATGGGTTTTATATTTGACCAATCAATTCGACCTACCAAATTTCAAAGGGATCGGCCGACTATATCCTATAGCTGCCATATAACTGATTTATCGGAAATGCCATAACTTTGGTGTTTGTGAAGTTAGGAAGTTGGGATTTTCTATGGGTTTTATATTTGACCAATCAATTCGACCTACCAAATTTCATAAGGATCGGCCGACTATATCTTATAGCCGCCATATAACTGATTGATCGGAAATGCCATAACTTTGGTTTTTGTTAAGTTAGGAAGTTGGGATTTTCTATAGGTTTTATTTTTAGCCAATCAATCCGACCTTTCAAATTTCATAAGGATCGGCCGACTATATCCCATAGCTGCCATATAACTGAACGATTGGAAATGCCATAACTTTGGTGTTTTTAAAGTTAGGAAGTTGGGATTTTTTATGAGTGTTAAGAATGCATCTTATGAATAATTTTGGAGAATATAATTTACAGAGTATTCTGCAAGGGTATATCAACTTCGGCTCCGCCCGAAGTTAGCTTTCCTTTCTTGTTTTTTGTTATATTAGTGTACATTTCTGCAACTACCTAATTTTTGTGTAGAACACTTATTTTTCTACAATTTAAAAATTTGTATTTTGAGAAACATTTTTACAATTTAATTTGTGATATTTTAAAGAAACAAAAGCTGTCCCTAATCTTGACTTAAATATATTTTTAATTGTTTTCATTAAAACCTAAGACATGATTTTACTGGTCTTCTTGAGTAATTATGTATAATTTTATTTAATGTTTGTTGAAGTTTTGACAACAAATGTTTTATATGGTTGTTTCTCCATTTTTTTTCATTTTCAATTTAATTAATAATACATTTTTAGTTTGCAATAATTCATTAAAATATATAATAATATAAACGGTTTTATATTTATTGCACTATTTAAGGGTTAATAGCCAGTGAGTACACACCAAATGGCAGAATATGGCAACAAGCGATGGTATCGAATAAACATCGATATTTTTGCTTCAGATCTATAGACTGACATCATTCCCGCACACAAAACACCAAAATAAAGAGAAATCGTGCGAAAATGGAGGCCCTGGACATTCTGGAGAAGCGCATCGACGCCCTGACGCGAGTCCTGGGCCCCGTGCAGGACTCGGAGGCGGGGGAGGGCGTGGTGGACGCCCTATGCTCGGCACACGCCCTTTTGGGCGAAGCCACAACGGGAAGTGTTCCACTGCAGCAGTGTGTGAAGAGATCCGGCGAACTGGAGAAGTACCTGGACCCTAACTTCCTCGAGGAGCAGCAACAGGTGCGCTCCAAGGAGGTATACCTGCACGCCGTGGCCCCCGAGCTGCACACCCAGGCCGAGCAGCTGGACAGGATCAGGCAGTTGGAACCCGCTCTGGGTGCGGAGTACTTCCGCAGCATTCCCGCCGAGTGCCTGGATCAGCTCAAGGGCATCACCCAGAACAATGGGGAGTACGCCCAGCAGAGCGAACTCATCGAGGAAAGCCTGGTTCTGGCCATGAAGCGGTACGGTGAGATCCAGGCTGGATTACTCAGCTCCCTGGATGCTATGAGCGAACGGTTGGACCAGGTGGAGGAGCGCATGGAGCAGAGAAAGCGGGCGGAGCTTAGCAAGGATGTTCCGCCTAAGGATTGAGTGCCTATAGCTCCAAAGACTGCTGAAAGTATTTTATACGACCCTGTTTCCAAATCCTTTTCTAGTCAATTTTGCTTATGGATTCAGTTCTCCAAAAAAGACTCGGATCTTTTTCCAGTAAACTTGATTTTACTCAGCAAACTGTTTTATTCAAAACTGAACTTGCAGAGATTTATAAGCAAATTGATTGGAATTGTAAATGGAATCCGGGATTTTAGATTTCCTAACCACTCTTTAGCGAAAAGTGGCTAATGATGCTCTTTCAATTGTAAGTCCCCCTTTTAAGAAATATTTAATAGCACAATAAACAAAATAATAAAATAAAACTGGCATCTAATACAAATGCTTCTATTTAAAGAAGAATGGCGACTGCTGAAATTATTTGACATATGTGATCTTACATTTCGTAGAAGCTATTCACATTTCTTAATTTAATTCCTTTTATTATTGGTACGCAATGTAAATAAATTTAAAAAGTTTATTCCTTAGAATTTCCCAAGAATATTCAATTTTTTATTTTATACGTAATGTTTTAAAATTCAAGCTTTGAAACAATCTGAAATTGTATAGATCGTGTCAGAATCTCTCCCAATTGGAAAATTTGAAAGTATATTAGAACGTCTTTAAAAACAATTTAAAATAATTGATAAAATGTATCTGTTTTTTTTGTCCAAATTGTAAATATTAAAACCACATACGTTTATTGGCAAAATGTTTATCACCTAACAATGTATGTAATAACAAGAAAGGAAAGCTAACTTCGGGCGGAGCCGAAGTTGATATACCCTTGCAGAATACTCTGTAAATTATATTCTCCAAAATTATTCATATGATGCATTCTTAATACTCATAAAAAATCCCAACTTCCTAACTTTAAAAACACCAAAGTTATGGCATTTCCAATCGTTCAGTTATATGGCAGCTATAGGATATAGTCGGCCGATCCATATGGAATTTGGTAGGTCGGATTAATTGGCCAAAAATAAAAACCATAGGAAATCCCAACTTTCTAACTTTACAAACACCAAAGTTATGGCATTTCCGATCAATCAGTTATATGGCAGCTTTAGAATATAGTCGGCCGATCCTTATAAAATTTGGTAGGTCGGATTGATTGGCCAAATATAAAACCCATAGGAAATCCCAGCTTCCTAACTTTACAAACACCAAAGTTATGGCATTTTCGATCAATCAGTTATATGGCAGCTATAGGATATAGTCGGCCGATCCTTATGAAATTTGGTAGGTCGGATTGATTGGCCAAATATAAAACCCATAGTAAGTCACAGCTTCCTAACTTTAAAAACACCAAAGTTATGGCATTTCCGATCAATCAGTTATATGGCAGCTATAGGATATAGTCGGCCGATCCCGGCCGTTCCGACATATATACTGCGTGCAAAGGAAAGAAGGGTGTGTGCAAAGTTTGAATTCGATATCTTTAAAACTGAGAGACTAGTTTGCGTAGAAACAGACAGACGGACAGACAGACGGACAGACGGACAGACGGACATGGCTATATCGACTCAGGAGGTGATCCTGATCAAGAATATATATACTTTATAGGGTCGGAGATGTCTCCTTCACTGCGTTGCACACTTTTGACCAAAATTATAATACCCTCTGCAAGGGTATAAAAATGACAATTATCTAAAAATTCCACGAAAACAATGCTCTTTCAATAGTCAATTTCTTTTAAAAACGTTATTTATTGGTAGCACAAAAAATAACATTACCAAAATTAAAAATAGTTTAAGCACGTTTGAATTCAACCAGTAATCCTTTCTACTAAAATAAGAGGCACAGTCTTGACTTCTTCTCTTCCCAAGAGAGAAGTCCGTCGTTCCTAGAAGCGGAGCTCGTTCCTTAGTATCCGCTCATAAACGGATAAGGTGAGCGGAGCATATACACCATCCGACTGGACGTAGTATAGTTCATCCTCTATAAGTTCCGGATTGAAGCCCTGCTGTTGGAGCTCCACTTTGCGGAGCTTGAAGGTGCCCGTTAGGTCTATTCTTCGCAGGAATCTCAGGAACTGGGGTCTCGCATAGTTGGGCAGGGCATTGGCCAGTTCCTCACCCAACTGGGTGACCTTTACCTCGCGAGCGGGATCGTAAATGGCTGCCATTCCGGCTCTTCCCTCGGTGTGGGGCACGCTTACTCCGTACACAATCACATCCTTGTAGCCAGCTAGATTGCTTAGCTGCGCCTCCACCTCGCTGGTGGACACATTCTCACCCTTCCAGCGGAAGGTGTCGCCGGTGCGATCCTTGAAATATAGATAGCCCCGTTCGTCGGCCACCAGCAGATCGCCCGAAATGAAGGCCATGTCGCCCTTGGAGAAGACGTCGTGCACCACCTTCTTGGAGGAGGCCTTCTGATCAACATAGCCCAGGAACTCCCGACACGGATTTCCCCTCACAATCTTTCCTATGAAGACGCCTGGCTCGTCGGCCTCACATCTTTCGCATAGTCCCTTGCTGTTCCTCAAAGGCTCTCCCGTATGGGGATCTGCTTTAATGATCGATATCGGATAGATCTGCGGCAGTATCCGGGAAACAAAGCCAATGGCTCCCACGGTGCTGTCATTATTCATTATGTTGGCATTGCCCTCGGTGGCTCCGTAGAACTCGCCCACTTTTTTGATCCCGTATCGCTCCACAAACTGTGGCCAAATCTGTGGACGCAGCCCGTTGCCAAACACCATGCGCACTTGGTGCTGCCGATCGTGAGGAGCCGATGGCGTGGCCAGGATATAGCGAGCCATCTCGCCAATGTACTGGCCAACCTGGAGAATATATCATTAAAAGTTATTACAAATTATAGATTAATAAAAGTTTTTGTAGTTGTTACCGTGCACTGGAATCGTGAGCAGTCCGAAAAATATCCGGAGGCGCTGAACTTCTTTCTTACGACTACCGTTGAGCCAAAGAGCAAGGCCTGACCAATGCTCATCACTCCGCCAGCGGTGTGATATAAGGGTAATGGGGTATAGAACACATCCTGATCCTTAAAACCAAGCGTGTAGTGGATGCCGGCAGCTATGAAGAAGTATCTAAAAGGGAAGAAGTCGTTTCAAGGGACATTAAAGGATACTAAATCGAAGATCTCACCGAGAATGGGTGATGACGGCTGCCTTGGGCAATCCCGTGGTTCCCGAGGTGTAGATGTACACCAGCTTGTCATGATGATCCGCTCGAGAAGCGCCAGCGGCCACTTTATCCTTGGCAGCCGTCTCCAGAAGACCATTCAACTGCTGGGCCAATCCCTGGCTTAGACCCTCTGAAGCCACAATTTCCTGGGTGGCCTCATCGTTGAACTGATAGAGTCCCACATGGGCGGGCAGATCCTTGGCTATATCCATTACGGCGGATCGAAAATTAGCGCCGTAAATGAGAGCCGTGCACTGGCCCACCGTAATACTGTGTTGCAGGGAGGCTCCTCTGAGATTCGTGTTTATCAGGGGCGTGATCACCCCGATCTTGGATAGACCCAGCCAGGTGGCCACGAACTCCGCTCGATTTTCCAGCAGCAGGCCCACCACATCGCCCTTTTTGTAGCCATGGCTGTGGAATACGTTGGCCACTCGGTTGGAGTGCTCATTCACCTGCCGGAAAGTCCATTGCTGGGACTCACTGACTATGGCCAACTTGTCCGGCTGCCGGGCCACATTCGCCTCGAAGATGTCTCCTATGTTCAAATTCTTCCGCTCCTGCCGTTTTATGAACATTAACACACGAATGTAGGCGAAGAGGGCTCTGTAAATATATAAATATAATATAATTTTATTAAACATCTATTAATTTCCATAGTTCAATAATTTAAATTGGGGTTATATATGGTATTTAAAAATGTATATTAATAGAGAAGAATTCAATAATAAAGAAAACGTTTACATTATGTCTTAAAAACAATTTAACATTTTAGGAATATATTATTTTGTACCTTCTTCAATAGAATGTATTAATTAACTTACACAGTATCGCGAGGAGTGGTGACCGCTGCTATATAGAACCATCGCCATCCTGGACGCACCAGCAATGTGGCTATTAAGCTGGCATACAGGGTGGCCACTCCATACCAAGGTCCTTGGTAATATAGGATCAGCCCAGTTACTGCGCTCAATGCGGGAGTTAAGATCCATTGAAGATAACGCCGCCAATCAACCTCCTTCGGTTGTTTTATAATTTCCGGTGAATTTATGCTAATTGCAACCTAAAAAATACAAAAAATAAATAATAATTCAGAAAGTTTTAGATTATATTAAACAAGTGAAATTGTAACATATTACGCAGGGAGTCCGTTTATGGTATGTTTTAGGATTATTAAATTATGTAGTGCAGAAATAAGCCCAAAAAATATGAACAAATTATCATCGGTATACCGCGAATTTTTAAGAATTTATAGAGACTCGTTTTTTAGCAGTAAGCCATGATTCTCTTTTAATTGAAATAACAAAAAGTTAAAAATATATAGTACACGGTCACCCCTATAATACGTGGACTTCCACTGCATCACTCATACGCCGCGTAAGCCCTCTTGAACGGTGGTTAGATAATAAATAGAATAACCCCTCAGCCTGACCCATCCTAATGAAGTTTATTCAAAGCTTTTCCTGATATTCAGCTAATAGCTTGTTGTTTAATTTGCACTCTAGCGACAGCTGCCCCATAACTTATTCCGCATCAATCATTTAGCACTTTATTTAAGCAATTTGCAAACAAACAAACCAAAACAGAGAAAAGCAAACACACAAAATATAAAGTGTTATGTGGGGATAAACAAGAGCTAGTGGCCAAATCGGTGGTCATTACGGCCCGAGGAGAACTCGCGGAAGTGCATCAAAGCCTTCTTCTCGGCATCGGATGCCAATTGGTTGGACAATCGGATCAGAACACATATGGTCAGCGCCGAGATCAGTCCCAGCATAAAGAAGACGATCTAATGTACGGGGGATATAATGCACAGCATGTGTGGGGGACTCCCGATTACCTTGTGCCAAATGGTCAGTCGATGCTGGGTGGTGGTCAGTCCCCCGTCTTCCACCAATGGATCGTTGTCGGTGCCCATCATCATATTAGGCAAATCTTTGCTCAGCTTTTTTGACCATTAGCGCTTGAATGGCACAGACGTCTGTTTTTTCGGGGATTTTTCTTATTTAACTGACAGTTGGTTCGGAGAAATATTGTAACATTGAATTTTTAAAAGGTGTGATAAGTTCATGTGAAAAGGAAATGTTCCGATTTAAAAGGGATTTCCCAATAATAATTTGTTCAATTATTTCAGATTTGTTTCCGAGGAGTATGAAAATATTTGTATCTCATTAAATATTATTGCCATAAATATTGGTCTTCAAAAAATACCTAGTATCGAACAAAAACAAAACAACCTTAGTTAAACACAACTTAATGAAATCCCTTTTATTAATCCATTTTAGAACCTTCTTAGCTTAATTAACAACACCTTTAGTTACTGCGTTTTTGTCATTTAGGTATTCTTAAGGTAAATTGGAGCTTTAAAGTGTTTTTGTGTTTCTTACTTTAGACATACCACTTATTTGTATCTTGTAGTGCATTAAAACTAGTTCTTTTAATTCAGTTTCCTTTTTTAAAAGCAGTTCATTTTAATAACCCCCATTAACTTCCATTTGAAGTTACCCTGATCTTGACTTTCAAATATTTTCGGACCAAGTGAATACAAAGATACCATTTAAGTTGCAATAATCTTTTATATAAACCAGATTATGAGCTTTAACCGAACAGATGACCGATCGCATAATACTCGAGACCCAGACCTAGTCCCGGTTAAAATAAACAGGCCAAAAGTAAACTGGTTTCGGTTTTTTCTGCGGTTTTCGTAGATGTTTGTTTCTGATGGCAACGTGAGTATTATTTTGTTGTCAGATAAGGTTTGGCCCGATGACAAGGGGGAGGTGGAGGGGCTGCGACCCACCAAGTGAAAACAACAAAGCGAATCAAGCGCGAAACGAACCGAAAATATGTATGTTGACCACATTCGTGCGAGTAGATGGGTATATGTTATTTACCTGTGGGGGGTTCAAGGCCGTCGAACTTGGGGCGGCGGCAGCACCACTGTCCGCAGTATCAGCACCACCTGTAGCAGCACCACCATCAACCGCAACGCCAGCGGTGCACATTTTTTTATTTCGAATTTAACAGCACATCTGCAGAGGCTGCGAACTGATGTTGATTAACAGCTCGGCTTGGTTTGGTCTTCAATTAACTCCGCCGCTATTGGTGGTTTTTATTGTGGTTTCTTGATGGTTACACAAGGAAAAAATAGTACAAATTGTAGTTAATGTCTTTTCAATAACGAAAAAATCTGTGCAATATCAGCTAATTATCTTAGAATATAAACCTTAAATTACTTTTTTTTCCCACATTAGAGACCATCATCTTCACAACATGATATTAAGAAATGTATATAAAAATCATCCATATTCACAAAGTTTTTAAAAAATATGTTGTAGTTAATCCTTAAATCTATCAACAATTGCTGCACTGATACAATGTGTTAAGCTGAGAACTTTTTATAAGTCATAATTAAAATTTAAAAAATTTGTATATTTTTAAATTTAAAGCTTATTTCTCTCAAAGACTTATTTATTTTTTATTCACCGGAAATTTTTTCCAGGTACCCCGATTATAAGATTTAAATATTGTATTAAATGGAGAAACAAATTGCTATATTTTTACAGTGCACTTTTGAAGCGAAATTATGGGTAATTAGGCGACGTGCAGCAGTCGGAAGGGGCAAACAAAACGCAAAAAGAGAAAAGGCGAAATGTTGAAGAAAAAACCAGAGATAACGATGTGGGGAATTTGCAATTGTAGTGCACAAGTGACACCAGCAGAAAAGATGGAGAAAAATTGCCTTTTTTGACACGGCTTGAATGATGCTGCGACGATTTTCAGTTCAGGTATGCGACAGTGTGTTTGTAAGCTCAAGGTGAGATTTGGGGTCTGCTGCGGTTGTTTATGCGCGTCGAATGGCAAAAGCTAAGTTAAGTGTACCTCCAGGTGGGCCATAAAACTCATTTAATGAAAAAGACAATTAAAGTATGTTTAGTGTGTAGGAAGTTGGATTAGGATGATGGATCTTGCATTTAAATAGGAAATGGTTATCAGTAAAGATAAAATCTGAATAAGGCTTAAAAAGTTAAGAATAAAGCTAATTTAACACATTTATTTTAAAACAACTTTATATATAGTTTCATTTTAACGAATGTTAATAATGATATTTGTCCAATTTATTCAATATTTTATTCTTTTTTTAAAAATATTTTGAATATAATTTTGGAAAAACTCAAAATGATTTTCTTAATAAAAATCTAAAATTTTTTTTAATTTCTACTATAAAATAAAAACAAACTATAAATGATAATTAGTTTGTAAGATGTGATACATGCAATATTATATACATATAAATATTATCAATAAATTAGCAATAGGAAAAGTGACTATAAATTTAAATAGCTATAATAAGTAGTGGCCATTTAAAATTGTATTTGTCATGTTAGGCTAATGGTTTCTATGCCAAAAAATAATTTATTAAAATATGTTTAACCATTTCTCTTTTGTCTAGTTCACTAATTTGCCAATGCATGAACATGGCTTTTTCTTGGCCTGCGGCTGGTGCAAAACTTAAATTTCAGTCCTCGTGTTGCAAATTATTTTTTTTACAACATTTTACTCATGCAAACATTTAACTTTTGTTTTTTTCTGGCACACATATAGATAAACACATAAGATCGGCAGAGATCATTAAGAGATGCGGATGTTGGTGACGCTTCATCACTTTCACTGAAATCTTCTTCTCCTTTTCTTTTGTTAAATTTCTTTGCCTTTTGTGGGTCCCCACACATGAAGCTTGGAATTTTCAGGGGATTAAGAGATAGGAGATGAGATGTGCGATGCAATCAAATTGCGGTTGAAATTGTTGTTCACTCTATTAACTTGATGGATTTATTGCACGCACAAACGGAAACGAAATAATCATTCAGCTTTAGCTGGTTTTAAAAGTTTTGCATTTAAGGTATACTTTGTCAAATGTTCTTGATTATTTGTATTTTTTTAAAGCAATAATTACAAATTACTTTTAAGATGTATATCACTTTCTAGATAATTATTAACTGGCCTATAAAGGTAGTTAAAATTTTGTGAAAGATTTGAACTTTTTTATTTTTACTGAGGCTTCTTCATTAAAGTCAAACCACTCAAAAATATATGGAAGCCTTGAGTTATTTTTATGTTTTTGAACTCCTGTCCTTTAAAAATATTTTTTTTTTCATTTAAAGCGAACTACAGTCGACTTTCCATAGCTTGAACGACTCATTATATGGCACCAAATAAATTCAGGTTATGGAGACTTTAAGTTGAACATTATTTTGCATTCCAGACAAAATAAGTTTGACTTTTTGAATTTTCCAACTTTAATTCATAAAAAAATTAATATTAATCGTCCTTTCTAGACCGTTTTAAATTTTTTTCTTTGGTAATTTACTTGTTTAGATTTTTTTTATATCAGGTGGGTGATTAAGTCGGAGTTTAAGCCGGTCGCGTCTTTCGGCCAACAGCTTCGTTCATCAACTGCGCCCAAAAAGCTAACTGCCTCTGCATCCGTCGCTGCCCGAGCTCTGCCAACGCCGACGTCGGCGTCGGTGGCAACAGGTCGCCGCAAACACAGATACACACTGACACAAAAAGCCAAGCTTCGGGTCGAAGCTCTGCTTCTTAGCCAAGTTAACAATGTGCTGTTGTTTCGCTGAAATTGTCAGTTGCGATTCTGTTGTGTGTTTGCACGTGATTATGCCGCATGCAACATGTGTATTGTTTTATTTGCCCTGCCTCTTAAGCGAGTTTCCTTTGTGGCCATTAACATGTCAACAACCACAGAGCGTCAAGAATGTGGCTATAATGCGCTAGAGGGGTGGGGTGGTGGGAGGAGGTGGGTGGGAGGATTGTGTCGGAGTGGGTGGCGCAGGGAGAAGGCCGCGCGGAGAAGAGTGCGCATTTAATTCAAAACACGTGTCTCACTTCGTACTCTCTTTGTGGCTGTTGCCCTCTGTTTGCGATTCTTTCCCTCGCATTTCTTTCTATGTATAAATGCACTGAGAGAAATCATACTTGATAACCAGTAATAAAACCGAATACCATTTTGGTGCAGGTTCAGTTACCGGTGCCGCACCGAATTGACTGTTTTAGGAAACAATTCCATTTCGGTTTTAATGTTTTGGTTCCTTTTCTAGAACCGGTTCGTACCTGTACAGTTGCAAAATCTTCAAAATTTGTGTTGATTTATACATTATACACTTCAATAATATATAAAAAAAACAAGAGAGAACGCTATAGTCGGGTGCCCCGACTATCAGATACCCGTTACTCAGGTAAAGGGAGTGCGAGGGAGATGGAGATAGAAACTTTGATCACGCATAACTTTTTAACGAATGGTCCGATTTGAAAAATTTCTTCAACATTTCGATAGGTATTGATAAACACAATAAAACTGCATTTTTACTTTTCCGAAATATTTAAATTTTTAAAATCGTATATAAGCGATTGTGGGCGTTAAAGGGGGCGTGGCACCTTTTTGAAACAAACTTGCGCTGCGTAGGAACTCCTAGAATCTGCATGCAAAATGCCAATCTTCTAGCTTTTATAGTTTCCGAGATCTCAGCGTTCATACGGACAGACAGACGGACAGACGGACAGACAGACGGACAGACGGACATGGCTATATCGACTCGGCTAGTGACCCTGATCAAGAATATATATACTTTATAGGGTCGGAAACGCTTCCTTCTAGCTGTTACATACTTTTGCACGAATACAATATACCCTTTTACTCTACGAGTAACGGGTATAACAATGCCTGGCAGTAAAGCATTCATAGAAGCCAGTGTTTTCTATTATAGGATCTGAAAATGTGAATTTTATATACTCGTATATACACATTAATACTTATAAATAATTTTCTAGTGCTTGAAACTGTATTTTAACATTAAAAAAATCATTGTTTTAATTTAATTAAAATAAGATTTACTATAATATAAAAGAAAAAGTAGGGACAACTTTAAAAATGTTAAGATTTTGTATCTTATTTATTTATCCTCTCTTGTATCCAACTTCTTAAAACCTTGTCAAAATAATATATAATTTTTGACTTGTGTATTTACAAAGTACGTATGTACATGCATTTTGTGCGAGCAATTGATGCGTTACCCCAATACCGACCTCTTACTCCACCCCGTCTCAAAACTCCATAGCAAGTGCAACGCAAACCGTTTATTAAATATAATTTTGCATGTTGATTTCTTTGGCTCAGATCGGTTGCCATGACTCGGCTAAATTGTTATAAACAGTCTGTGGGACTGAGAAAGATAGATCTTAAGAGCTAGCTAAACAGTTAGCCTATAGGCGGGGGGGGTTTGGATCAGAAAAACTAGGTCAATTGGGTGTTGCAAAACAATTTTAGGTTGCTTGCGGTGAAGGTTTGCAGTCAAATGACAGCTGTAAATATTTATGGCACTCTTAATTTAAATTCAGCATCACTAGATAGTTTATATTGGAGCAAAACACTAATTTAAGGCACCAACCCATTTTGCTATTTAGTTGCTATTGCTTGTAAGACAGGAATATAACTGACCCAACGTTTTTATGGGTTACTTATAGTGGGAATCGATATTCAACAAGCTTTCATATCGTGAGATCATATTACAACAAGTTGAACTCACTCAACAAGATTTTCGTTCAGGTAGATAATTCTAATGACACGGGTATAACAATTCAAAGCTCTAATAATACGATAATTGGCCAAGCTTTGACTCTAAAACAAACACAAATGAATCACGATAAGTATAGAGCGGCCCAAAGTTCAGGTCATAGATATAGACGTGATCATACAATTAAATGAATAATCAGTTTGAACTTTTTGGGGTTGAAAAGGGGTTGAATTAGTTTAACAAGGTATCTAAGCTTTTTTTTAATTTTTATATTTGAAATCTACTTATGGTCCTCTTTTGAAAGTTCAAAAATATCACATTTTTATACCCTTGCAGAGGGTATTATAATTTTGGTCAGAAGTTTGTAACGCAGTGAAGGAGACGTTTCCGACCCTATAAAGTATATATATTCTTGATCAGGATCAATAGGGGAGTCGATATAGCCATGTCCGTCTGTCCGTCTGTCCGTCTGTCCGTCCGTCCGTCTGTCCGTCTGTCCGTCTGTTTCAATACCGTTTGCGAGCTCAGTTAAAAAGCTAGCGATCTGAAACTTTCACAGTCGTCCTAAAACAAGTGTACGCAGATCAAGTTTGAAAACCGCCCCGATCGGATGTCTATATCCTATAGCTCCCATAGGAACAATCGGATATAACTTGCAAGAATGGAAGATATTTCGCGCAGTGTAAAAGCTATTGACATAAATCTTTCCAAATCTTATTTTTTTATGCGTACCTTGATCAGAGTAAAAGCGCGTGACGGTCGGACGTCTATATCCTATAGCTCCCATAGGAACAAAAGGGTAAAATCGGTTAAAATTTAATGATTTTTAGGATATTTCACGCAGTATACAAGCTATTGACATGAATCTTTCCAAATCCTATTTTTTTATGCATACATTGATCAAGGTGAAAGCGCGTGCCGATCGGACGTCTATATCCTATAGCTCCCATAGGAACAATAGGGTGAAATCGGTCCAAATTTGATGATTATCAGAATATTTCGCGCAGTGTGTAAGCTACTAACATAAAATTTTCCAATTCTTATTTATTTACGCATATCTTGATTAGGGTAAAAGCGCTTGCCGCTCGGAAGTCTTTATCTTAAAGGAGATAGGAAAAATTGTTAAAGGCTGCGAAAGTATCCCTTTTGTATATGACATTTTTGCAGTATAAAAGCAATTGACATTAAACGATGCAAATCTAGTTTACTTATGTATACCTTATTCCTTACGCTACTTTTTCACTTTTAGCAATTTCGTCAAAGTCTGCAAGGGTATTAAAACTTCGGCTTGCCGAAGTTAGCTTCCGTCCTCGTAATATATAAATTCTTATCAAAGAACTACAATATATAATCTAATAATATAATAAAATAATATAATATAATCTAATTTTTACAGGATTACTTTGATTTTGTTTTACAAAAATCATAATTAGAAGTGTTTTACAAATCAAGGCAATCCTTAAAAAAGATAGTGCGTTCTTTTTGTTTTTTTGTGTCAGTTACAAAGTTGCGTTGCCCTTCGTCGTGACCATAATTTCGTAGTACATTTAGTTACCTGTAAAACATAATTCATATCTGTCAGCAGAAACTTTCAAATTGCATTTCATGGCTCTTTCTGCTCTAACAATTTTTATAGTTCCTGGCAATCAACAGATCGTCGCACTCCCTTCGAACCCCCCTTCGTACCCACAAGATACCAATAACAAGGCTCCAAAGATATGCCCGACATTCAATGGTCTTTTTCACACATACCCGACCAGACATAAAGTGTCTGTGCAAAAAATGCAGGCGCACATATTCAGTTTATATATACTCCGCCTCTTTTATATATAGTTCGGAATATATTTTACCCTTCGGGGGCTTGCCCTTCGCCCTTCCCCTTCTCCCCTCCTCAATACTTGAGAAGGGAACTTGCCTGCTCTTGTGGATTTTGTCAAGTGGATTTTTGTCGAGTTTCTGAGATCATTAAAACAACATCGTTAGGGCGTCCATAATGAAGTACTAAAGAGGAACCCAAGAAGCAATCCCTCGAGAGCGGTACTAAGTCCCGAAATGAAAGAATTCAATTTCAAGGCGATGTTTTATGGGTCTAATGATTAGTTCTAGAGACGCACTGTCGCCTCTTTCAGCTGGGACTAACGCAAATCCAAGGAGATATATCGTACTTTCTCATCCAACTTTATATGGCGTATTGTGTTACGACGCGCTCTGCGGGATTGATGGATGCGACCGTGAAAAGCGCGGCGTGGAAAACTCTCGCTTCAACATCGACGTCGATGTTCATATCCATCAGCGGTGCCATGAATAATTTTTCGCATTTTAATCATTCATTTGGGGTATACACGATTGGTTAATCATTTTGTATTCATCATTAATTGCAGGAACAATAATTATTTTTTGAGACCATAATTTTAAAAGACTACTGTTAATTGCAATTATAAGTGTCACAAACAAAATTATATTCTCTTTTGCCCAAATAATGTTAATTTGGAAATAGTATTAAGGCACAAGAAGTCCTTTAAAAATAAACTTTTAAATAAAGGTTATTTTATGTCCCCGAAAGAGCAGTTTATTTGGAAATAGTATCAAAGCCCAAGAAGTCCTTTAAAAAAAAAAGTTTAAATAATGATTATTTTGGGTCCCTGAAAAGCGTATTTTTTTTTATTTGCACTGACACTATATAAACTATTTGGTTTGTATGCACTTTACATGTCTTGACTGACATATAAAAACAATAAGCTTCTATTAAATATTAAAATAACTTTAGCTTAAAAAGTGTTTTATTGTAATCATAAAAAGTATATTTATGTATATTAAATGTAAAAGGGTAAAAAGGGTATATAAACATTCGACTTCCCGCCGT